TTGGCGAATTTGTTACTTTTTAACAGAAGTACGAAAAAAACGAAAAGACTTATGCATCAACCTAATATTTTAAAACAAACCACTGTGAAACCCGATTCATTAAAAGAAAAGGTCCAAATTGCATCATCGGACCTTGTCGCTTTTGAACACTCGGTCTTTTGCTAATGAAAAACTTTCAAAATAAAGCTTTTCAGAAACTTTCAAAAGTCATTTTTAAGAGAACTGATTGGGCTGTTTAATAAAGAAACCGTGTTTCATTTGGTAGCTTGCGACTTATTCAATTAGCAAATGAATTTGAGTGAAAAACTTCGTACTCAGCCTAATAAAACAAAAATATTTACCTTGTAAAAACCAAAGAAATCCCATCTTTATTGGCGTTTCTTTAAGATCAACGGAGGTGGAAAAGGAGCGCAGAATGGCGTAGTTCTTCACAGACATCAAGATTATAGTATCCTTTTTCTAAAAGACGGGTAATTTGGAAAGCTTTCATAATCAAGATTTCATTCAATCAGCCAAAGCAAATTTCAGGGGTAAGCTAGTTTCCTCAACTTTTTTTGCGCAACTGGGTCATTTGCACAACTGGGTCGTTTGCGCAATTCACCATAACTTTCTTCTAAGTGGGCTAATCATTATGATTTTGATTTCATTTTGTTGCACTTATTGAGATCTACAAAATGAAACCAAAATCATAAAGATTAGCCCACTTAGAAGAAAGTTATGGTGAGTTGCGCAAACGACCCAGTTGCGCAAAAAAAGTTGCGGAAACTAGCCTACCCCAAATTTCATTCGACAAGGCTTGGTCAAAAAAAAACGCATAACTTTTGGAGGAACTTCCTTTAAACAAACAAATATCGTATAATAGCTTGATAAATGTAATATAAAAGATCTAAACGTATAACCGAGTATCCAATATTGATATTGGCTTGAGCTGAGGTCAGCTGTTAAGTCATCAACTGAAAAAGTGACATTTGCTCATTCATCGATCATTTTCATACCACATTTTGACGTCTTGCAGCTCAAAGAATAGAAAGGAATGGATGATTTTTGAGGGTAAAATTTTGCAGAAAAATCCTTTTAACTATCTATTAGTCAAGTGTTCGATTTCCTATCTACCTTTTCTCGTACAGTAAACGTACAGTAATGTCTTTAGTCTACAAGGCTATCGTTATCGTCGCTGAAAAGTACAGTATTCTCTGTAAGTGAACTTTTAGAACTTAAAACTCAAATCATTGCTGAAAAGAGTAAAAAAGAATCAGAGAAAGTAAACAAATTTATATTTCATTTTTAAAATCAGGTTCTATTGGGTTGGTGAATTGAAAACTGCCGGCTATTGTCATATGTGACAGTTTGAGCACTTTCTTCAAAAGAAACCCATTTTGGTGTCAATGGAAAAGTTGTAGAGAATCAAAAATCAAGCTTATATCCAAATTTTCAGAACAATTCAAAAACTGGTTTTCAAGAAATGCGAAATTTACGAATTTTCACAAAACTTGCATTTTAAGCGAAACTATTGGGTTGGGGAGAATGAGTCGGCGCCGAAAATCAAAAAAATGTCTAAAACTTCTATTCGACTTCGTCAAATAATATGCCTTTGATATCAGTAGAATGGTTAACTAATTCTCTACAAAATGACATTTAAAAGAAAATTCAAACAGCGCCTCCGCTCAAGAAAAAGCCATTTTTTCACAAAAACTACAAACTGTCATCTAGAAAAACCATTGGTGGGTTCTTCCTGCAAATTTGGCAACTTAAGTAATTGAATGTGCTCTATCTTTTTTATATAAACACCAAAAAAGGTTTATGTGAAAGAAACTGTTCAAATGACGAGTCGGACTCTTTGCCATTTTAACCAGCTGCGTTTGGAAGTTCATAAACTCCACGAAAGAAAAGCTTTGTGGAATCTCTCAAAAGTCATTTTGTAGAGAAATAGTGGATCCTTTTGATGAAACCAAACGTATGTCTAAAGAAGGCTTTATGTGTGCAAAAAGTCCCTTTAAAGTTTGGCGCCGACTCATTCTCCCCAACCCAATACTAAGTGTATCTTTTTGGAAATTTGGCTATAAGCCTAATTTTTGATTCTCTACAACTTTTCTATTGACACCAAAATGGGTTTCTTTTGAAGAAAGTGCTCAAACTGGTCCTCCATTTTTGTCTCCAGCCTCCAGTCCTCCATTTTTGAGTCTCACACTTGTCTCACACACAAACCAAAATCCTACTACGAAAGAGGAATCCGCAAATTGCCTGTAAAATGGGCAGAAGTCGTCAATAATCATTGTAGCATAAACCAGTGTCGAGAAAAACTCGTTCGAAGCTAAACTACGCAACACTCCGCACCGTCATTATGGGGGTCGGGTACTATTACAGCATTTACTTACGAAAATCTTTTCCAAGCCTGCACACGCACGGGGATTTCTGAGAAGGATTTCGTGGCGAAACGCTGCGAGATGTTCCCGATAGAATGGGTGGTGAGAAAAGTGGCGATCTGAATTAGATCGCGTTTGAATTAGAAATAGTCTTGATAGAAAATCTATCTTAAAACGTTGTGCTAATGTTTTATATGAAAGTTAGACTACGAATACTTATTTTTATATGAAAGTTAGTGTTTTATCGACGTTTTTCTGTTTTCAACAAGCATTTTGTTTATGAAGTGAATAACTCTCGAGCTTCGGTTTTCCAAGAGATTTAAATCTTTCTCCTTATGTGTTCATCTCGAGCAGGGCTTTCAAAAAGAGAAACTTCTCAAAGTCTCTTCGGCAATTCTGTTCTTTCCAATCCATCCCCCTAACCGGAATCCCAATTGTGAAATGGCTTTTAGTGGAGATCTCCTTTTCTTTCACTCCATTCACTGACCGGTGCTCCTTCTCACATAACCTGTCTTGTCCACGCGTTTCTTTGATTCTACCAAAACTCATTATTTGTGAGATAATTTTCTCATGCTCTTTAGCTCTTTTACTTACTTTTTTTTTCTAACGTACATCTAATTAACTTATTACTACCGTAAATACTGTAATAGTCTCCCACCCCCATAATGACGGTGCGGAGTGTTGCGTAGTCTAGCTTTGAACGAGTTTTTCTCGACACTGGTTTATGCTACAATGCGCGTTTAGGTATCAAAAAATAGCTGAAATTCAGGGCTATTTTTTGATACCAAAGGCGCATTTTTGAAAGTACGGGTGCTTTGAAAAAATGAAATACTAAAAAACTTTTGCGACTACGCGACTGTACGAGGGCGGTGGGGGACTATTACAGTGTTTACGGTATGTACATACTTAATAGCCACCGTGGGGGGTGGGACAAAAGCTACCTTTTTTTTTGCGCACCTGGACATTTGCGCACCTTTTTTTTTTGCTGGAAAAGGCCTTAGGAAAGGTCGTAGAGCTTCAAAAATGTTTTCATAGAAGGGAATCGTATGCGTAGATTCCGAATTTCGACAAATCAGACCTCGCTGACACTTCAAATTTGGGCTAAAAGGCAAAAACTACGCAACTTAACGCTTTTCCGCAGTTTTGTTTTTTTTTTTTTTTTTTTTTTTTTTTTTTTTTTTTTTTTTTTTTTTTTTTTTTTTATTTTTTTTTTTTTTTTTTTTTTTTTTTTTTTTTTTTTTTTTTTTTTTTTTTTTTTTTTTTTTTTTTTTTTTTTTTTTTTTTTTTTTTTTTTTTTTTTTTTTTTTTATTGTAAAACTTGATAGCGTTAGCGATTGTATAAAGTTTTGATTGTAAAACTTGATAGCGAGCGTTAGCGACTCAGAGAATGACCAGGGAAACGTTATCAACGCTCAAAAAAATAATGAAATAAGTTATTCAAAAATATTTTTGAATTCCCTTGGAATAAATTTTTTTAAAACCAAATACCTACAGAAAAAAAAGCTGAAATTGCGAAAAAAATTGTTCAAAAACCTTTCACCCTGATTCACATATTAAACTATACATTTTGAAGCCAAAGCTTAATAAATTGAAAGCCTTATTCATAAAGCTACCGTTTTAGCACTTTCCGGCGCCCTTTGCTGCCGGAAAATTTCCGGCGGAAACCCTATGTTAAAATTTTCCCGCGTTTCTCGCGGGAAACTCTGCTGGAAACAATTTTCCGGTAGGATTTCCCGCGGGAAACTTTCCCAGAGCGTAGCAGCCGCCGGAAAGTCAAAACTTTCCCCAGAGCATAGCATATGGGCTTAGATCTTTCCAATTCCAGTTTTGCATACCTACCGTAAATACTGTAATAGTCTCCCACCCCCATAATGACGGTGCGGAGTGTTGCGTAGTCTAGCTTTGAACGAGTTTTTCTCGACACTGGTTTATGCTACAATGCGCGCTTAGGTGTCAAAAAATAGCCCTGAATTTCAGCTATTTTTTGATACCAAAGACGCATTTTTTGAAAGTATGGATGCTTTGAAAAAATGAAATCCTAAAAAACTTTTGCGACTACGCGACTGTACGGGCGGGGGGTACTATTACAGTATTTACGGTAAGTAGTAATAATAATAATACTTTTTTATCTAGTGCCCCAGGATTTATTGAACCAGTTCCCAATTTCTAGAGTCAGCTTGTGCTGCTTCTACTCTAGTTCCAGATCTAGGCTCATTACCAGACAAAGGTGAAATCTTTCACACTCCATTTACAAGAAAGTTTATTTAATCTAGTAATAAAGATTTATCTATTATAGTTACCGTAAATACTGTAATAGTATCCCACCCCCATAATGGGTAGAAGTACTCCACACCGTCATTATGGGAGTGGGGTACTATTACAGTATTTACGGTATGTTGTATTTAGTTCTTTTCTTTTCTCTTTCCACTTTTGCTAGCACTTTTGACTGAATTTTCCATTTTCGACGTTCTTTTTTGTGATTCCCGTTTTGTTTCTTTTCTTTTCTTTTTATATCGAATGAAACCGGGAGGCAGTCACACCAAAAAGCATTATTATATAAAAATCTTTTTTCTTTTTTCTTTCTAAAAAATTTTCTTGCTTAAAACTAACTTTACCGCTTTTCCAGAGGTTTCATAAATGAGGAAAATAGTCGTTTTGCTTCTCGCTTTTTACACAGTGCCGATTTTCACGCAATACACCTCACAGACGTATCCTGATCCAAGGAATGATCCCTTCTCGTGCAGGTGAATTTTTTGTCCTTCGCTAAAACTTGGCTAACTTGGCTTTAGCTTGGTCCTTAGACCCGTAGCTTTTTAGAACAGCTTTTTAGAAGCTGGTCCTTTAATCACATTTAATAAACATAAAGGATAGCCCAGAATTATAGCGCTGCACTTCAGAGGGCCTAGTTTAGCCAAAATTGAGTCAATGGTTCTGATTTTTCTGTAGGTAAATCTTAAGTATATCTCCTGAAACGCTGCTCATTATCTAATCGATTCAACCTTTCAACTTTTTTATATGACCTTCTAAAGTTGAGAGCTGAGTGTCGCTCGGCACGCTACACATTTATGGGATTTTTGAGAGCGATCTTGTCAAAATCTCGTTGAAATTGAATTTATTATTTTAATGAACGACAATTTCACATGCTTTACACGATTTAAGTGCAAAAATTCTAATTCTTGAGAAACGTCACCAAAACTCACTTAATATCATCTGTTTTCATTTGGGGTATCGAGAGAAGCCACTAAAGAACAAGAAAAAAGGGGAGTGGGACAAATGCGAGCTTTTTTTTGCGCACCCGGACATTTGCGCATCTTTTTTTCCGCACCTTGCCCATTAGCGCACCTTTTTTCGCGTTTTAAAAGCTCTAAAAGCTAATATAACCAATTTCTATTCCAAAAGTTGTTTTTCTAGGTAATTTTAGGGCGTAGAATCGAAATTTTGACATATCAGAGCTTGTGGAAACAAACGGACGGAGTTATACAAAGAGAAAAATCGACAATTTTTGTAATTTGATCTAGCCGTTTTGTCTTTCAAATTGGTCTTTCAAATTGGTTCCACACGCTCTGTTATGTCAAAATTTGAATTCGACACCCTCAAATTACCTAGAAAAACAACATTTAGAATAGAAATTGGTTAATATCAGCTTTTTAGAGCTTTTTTAAAACGCGAAAAAAAGGTGCGCTAATGGGCAAGGTGCGGAAAAAAAGGTGCGCAAATGTCCGGGTGCATTTTTGAAGCTCTACGACCTTTCCTAAGGCCTTTTCCTGCAAAAAAAAGGTGCGCAAATGTCTGGGTGCGCAAAAAAAAGGTCGCATTTGTCCCACTCCCGAAAAAAGATATCTTATTTTTCAAGATCTATCGCTTAATTGAAAAACATTAGAATCTTAAAGACTTTTTATCAAAAAAAAAATGAGACTTTCAAAAACCCAGAAACAATCTTCAGAATGGGTTTCCCATCAGGCGTCTGCGATCCATCGTCCGTGTTGAGTGACGAGGAGAGAACGAGATTAGCACAACGCGTTAATCAGGCACGTTTTTTTTCTTCACTAGAATTCTCGTTATACGATGGTAAAAAACCCTAAAGATCTAAATTTGCTCAATATTTTTATACAAATTTACATATGAATATCCTTTTATGCTCTTTTAGTTAGTCGGCGTCACGTCTTCGATCCGAAACTCGGCTCCGTCGTGCTCGCAACGACCGGATGCTAATTTACAGGTGAAAATAACAATAATACTGTACTTATAGCAATATTTATAGCTATAATTAAGCTATAAATATTGATATTTTGATATGTTTTAGTTGGTGGTGGCCGTTCTCGACAAAATCGGCGCTTTTGCCGGAGCGCAAGTGGATGTGGAGAAGTTCGCGAACAATCTCAAGCGACGATATCAAAATTATCAGGTAGTTTAGCAAATTTAATGATCTAATAGCTATCTTAATGCTAAAATAGTTGAAACTTATTCGCAAGAACGTTTCAGGATATCGGCATTTGCGATACGTTCGTTTTGATCGTCAACTCGAGGCAAGATCGACAAGTTGGTGAATTTGTAGATAACAAAAAGACATAAAACAATCTAGAAATTAATATAATCTGATTTAAAAATAACTTTTAGGTGTTCACAGTTGCTGGCCGAGATGCGAAAATCAGCAAGGAGACACTCAAGAGGGCTTTTGAGTCGAACATTGGGCATTTTAAGGTTGGCCTAATACAACCCAATACAGGTTGCGGAGAAAGTTCTCGCCGATTTTTTGAGAAGAAGGTCTTAAACTTATTCGATTTAATCGTTTAATAACTCATTCAAAAGCTAATTATCTAGCGAATTGAATGGAAAAGACCGTTTGTCGATGCATCAACTTTCAAAGTTTTTGCAGCCGCTTTACTGAGATGCTTTTCACTCCAAATTTCGAAAAATAGACTTTATTTGTTTTTTTTGTATGGAAACCTATGCTGAAACCATGTTTTTCGGAATTAGCGTTAAAAATTACCCTAGAATGCAATAAAATTGTTTTTTTAAGCAAAAATTTTTTTTAAAACTGACCTGACTCGGAATCGAACCCTCGACCCTCGGACTACCATACAACCTTTGTTTTTTCGATGTTTTCTTAATTTTTCTTTGCAATATTTTATCGCAGATGTTCCTTCTGATCGACTTGGCACTCTATCACTAACTGAAAGAATAAGAAATATAAATGATAAAACGACTTTTCCATTCAATCCGCTAGATTAGCTTTCAAATGAGCTTTCAAGCTTTCAAATGAGCTTTCAAGCTTTCAAATGAGCTTTCAAGCTTTCAAATGAGCTTTCAAGCTTTCAAATGAGCTTTCAAGCTTTCAAATGAGCTTTCAAGCTTTCAAATGAGCTATTAAACGATGAAATCGGATAAGTTTAAGACCTTCTTGCAAAAAATCGCCGGGAACTTTCTTTCAAACGCAATAGATGGATACTAGACTTGGAAAGTATCTATTTATCAGGCTTAAAAATGATCTTCAGTCAAATAAATTCGCGCTGGGCTTGGAGGGGATGGTGGAGATGATCACGGCGGCCTACAGTAATGCACACATTGTGCAAGTGCCGACGCCTGTCGAGGGTTTCGTGCAGGAGAATCTCGAGTGGGTTTTGGGAATTTAGAAATTCTATATTCTATAGCTTCATATTTTATATCACTAACTGAAAGAATAAGAAATATAAACGATCAAATTCTTCTTAATAAAATTCTAAATAAAATTCTATTCTATTTAGAAATTCTATATTCTATAAATTCTATAGCTTCACATTTTATATTTACATATCTACAAGAAAACACAATGACAATAGATACAAAAAAAAATAATAATACAAGTGAACCTTCATTTGAACTTGGCCGTTTACCTGAAGCTGTAGGTGAAATCCTTAGAATTTCACCTATTCATGCCAGCTTCGGTACTGTAGACAACTATCCTTTCTTTCTGGATCTAATTTTACGAATCAATTGCTACAAATATGAAATAAAAGTGAAAGATAGATAAAAATAGAAAAATCTATAGCTAAAATCTAGATCCTCAATCCCGGCCGCCTCTCAACAGTCGTTCCGAGCCTCTGCCGTGCTCACGAAGACCCAAGAGTCATTTGAAGAACTCGTCGGACAGGTGAATATCTGACAAAAAGCTTTAGAAAGACTTTAAATTGATGTTTTGGCTGTGTTTTGGCTGAAAGGCTGTAACGTATTAATTCTACTCTTGCAATTTCAGGTGCCCGACGAGGATCGTGCCTGGGTGGATATCATGTCGATTGCGGTGGCACGTTGCGGAGAGAGTGGGGATCTCATGAAGAGCATTCGATCAGTGGTTGAGGGTGGGTCAGAAAATGAAGTTCAAAATCCACGATATGTTCATTTTATCTTGATCTTTAAACTCCCCAAAAAAAAGCTGATTTAGAAGCGATGGCCATTTCCGTGAAGCTCATCTCTGATTCGCGTTACAACGGCATTGAGGAAGAGGTTGGCTACTGTATACTTGAGGATATCAAATTGTAAACTGACTCTGCTTCTGCTTCTACCGAATCGATACCACAAATGAGAATTCATTCAATGACATCAGTTTTGATTGTAAAACTTGATAGCTCAGAGAATGGCCAGGGAAACGTTACCAACGCTCAAAAAAAATAATAAAGAATACCCAGTCAATAAGCCTTTTAAAGCTTTCAAAGCCTTGAAAGTTTAAAATAAACTTCAGGTTGAAACAAACAAGGACATTCTCGGGATTCGGGATTCAGCTTGGAAAAAAGCGGCCATTGAATGGATCACCCCGTTATTCCAACGATACAAAGAGGCTGTGAGTGAAGAGTTAAAACAATTATTCTAATGCAAAATAGAAAATGAATATGGTCGAAAAAAGTTCAGAGAGCAAATCTAGAGTATCCATTCAGTGTTTTCTATTTGGCACTAACTACTGTAACCAATTTTTTAATTCAGATTCGAGCCGGCGGTGCCCAAGTTTGCCCGGCGCTCAACCCACACAAAATTCTCACCTCTCCAAATTTGCTCCTTCGAACTCTTTGACACTCTATCGTAATCCAAATCATTATTATGCGGGTCTATAAAAGCTTTTTCAACTTGATTTTCAAAAAATTTATTGCAAATCTGAAAAAACTTGAGACACTTAATCAATCACCACACAAAAGTTTATACAAATTTGGCTCTAGAGTCTACCCTGATAAGTTAAATAGAAAAGCACAAAGATTTAACCGAAATTATACGAAAACTGAGAGAAGTTTGAAACTTTAATGCGTAAAGCTTTTTTTCAATAAAATACTGAATGAATGAAGGGAACGAACTGTAAATGGCAGCAAATCGAAGATAAATTACTTTCTTTTGTCGAACTCGGCGTTGATCTGCTCGACGGTTTTTCCTTTGGTCTCGGGAACAAATCTGAAAGGGAAAAAAATGAAACCTTCTGCAAAATAGTAAACTTTTACATAATTTTTCATTAAATCCTTAAATTTTTAAAAACAAATGTTAATCTGCTTTAAAACCCCCAAAAACTTACTTCCAGGTGAAGATAATGAACACCAAGAGGAACCCAGAAAAGATGAAGAACGCATTTTGCTTGAGAGCTCCCTAAAATTAAATTTTGCAATATCTTTCCAATTCAATTATTAAGAATCAGCAAACCAGTTTAACTTTTTACCTCAATTGGCAAGAAGAGAAGTCCGACGAAAAAGTTGGCAGTCCAGTTCACCATTGCGGCCACCGATGACGCCGGTCCTCGCGCGCCCGAGCCGAACAACTCCGACACGAAGAACCAAGGGATTGAGCCTAAAAACAGAATAAATTGATATCACGTAAGATTTTAGTTTTTAATTACTTACCCGGTCCAGTAGCAAAACCAATGACAAAGAGTAGCACGAAAGCGATGGCCAAGTAGGACCATGTTCCTTTGCTTCCGTTCTAAAAACAAACATTGATTCGAGGTAAAAACTGTTTCAGATACTTTCAGTTACAGCAAAACATCGTAATACTATTATTTGTTAAGGTCTTATTAGAGGTTTACTGTACTTACAATTAAACTAACCTTGATCATAGTCAGAGCCAAAACGATAAGCATCGAGGCGATGAACATCACCGAGAGACCGATCAAGTGCAATAAACGACGACCGAACTTCGGGTGGTCAACCTAAGTAGATTTTAATATTGAACGGAAATTCTAAAAAATAATTATAAAACAGTAAAATCTATAAAATAAACCAACCAGATACACGGAGATGACGGTCATCAAAACGTTGATCGAGCCCATAGCGATTGTTGCATAAGTGGCCTAAAATTTTTTCGTTCAATAATAAAGAATGTCAACTATTTCTCGTTATTTGATTTAATAAGCTACTTGTTGATCATCGAGTCCGGCGCTCTTGAAAATTGTGTTTGAGTAGAACATGGCCGCGTTGATACCTAAAGAATAAAGACGTGTTTTTATTATGTAAAACTATTTTGAGAATTAAAAACTTATAAGCTAAAAATACCAACCAGAAAGTTGTTGTGAGAGCATCATCATTATCGCGATGAACATCGGCCATCGGAGAGATCCCTTGAACAAATCGAGCATGCTCACCTAAAAAGTTGATTGAAAGAGGGGTACGGAACTTTAATCGAATTATGCATAAGCATAAACTTTAGCGCTTCAAACTACTTTAAAAAAAATTCAACTCTTTTTCATCACACTCACAAACCTTTGGTGTATTTTGAGCAGCGGTCGCCTCCTCTTGAATCGCTTCAAGCTCATCTTTCACGTCGTCTCGACCACGGAGTTTCTAAAAATTACATAATACGTATTGTTTGATCTTCTATAAGTCTAAATAATGAAAATAATAATTACCTTCAAAGCTGCTTCGGCTGCATCAGATTGATTTTTGACAACGAGGGAGTATTTTGGTGACTCGGGGCACATTGGGAGCATGATGAGTTGCAGAATTGCGGGCACCACAGTCATCGCTAAAAATGGTAGAGTTAGATGAAACTTGTAGGCATTGATAGATTCACCAACCAAAGATCCACGGCCATCGGCTTGTCGTGCCAAATAAGAAGTTGAGACCAAGAACTTGTGAGACGAGAATGGCGATCGTCACCTAAATAAAAAAATATTTAAAATTTCAATAATAAAAAGATTATCTTATAACTAAACATAACTAACTCACAAAAAGCTGATGAATCGATCCAAGAGTGCCACGGAGATTGATTGGTGAGACTTCTGTCAAATACATGGGCACCAATCCAGAAGCAAGACCTAAAGATATAAAGTGAATGCGTAAAGGAAAACTATTAGGTTGAGTACTAAGTCTTTACCCCGTCATTTCATTATCTAAATGAATGAGGCTTAAACTATCAAATACTAAACGATTTCTTTCATTATAAATGTTTATCTTTTACTTTTTGTCATTTTTAAATAATGTTTAATATTTTAGAATAATCTGCAAGAACGAAAACTGATATTTTTTTAAATATTGAAAAATGAGCACATAAAGAAAACCGCTAAACGAATTATTCTGAAATTTTGATTGTAGACCTAACTTTTTGTGCTCTATCTTTATTTTGTTATTAAAATAGGTTTCATTAAAAGAAAAGGTCCAAATTGCATCATCGGACCTTGTCGTTTTTGAACACTCGGCTTTTTGCTAATGAAAAACTTTCAACATAAAGCTTTTCAGAAACTTTCAAAAGTCATTTTTAAGAGAACTGATTGGGCTGTTTAATAAAAAACCGTGTTTCATTTGGTAGCTTGAAACTTATTCAATTAGCAAATGAATTTGGGTGCAAAACTTGGTACTCAAACTAATAACCATATATTTTAAAACAAACCACTGTGAAAACCGATGACCAATCGGCCGATGATCATCAATGGATACAGATCGACCATCTTGCACAAAGCCATCAGAGCCGCGGCGATAAAAGCGAAGATATTGTTGAGGAGAAGGGCACCCTTTGAGCAGAATTAATAGATAAAATTTAATAATAGCTTTAATTACACTAGCCTTATTTGAGCACTTTTAAAAGCTGATCAAAAAGCTTAACATTTGGAATGATTAATTGAATTAGAAAGTTTTTACACAAAGTTTTCTCGCAAATTTTTAATCAAAACAAAACTCACTCGTCGTCCAAAACGATCAGCAAACCATCCCGATAAAAGCCCTCCAGCCATGCCACCAATACCGAAAATTGACACAGCTGTTGACCTAAATTTAAATAAATAGATAATCAAGCTATATTTAAACAAGTAGGTTTAAAGCTAAACACTAACCAAAGAAACGTGATCGTCGACTGATCGATGGGCTTTCCGAAAGCGTTGTTGTGCGACTCGCCAAACCATTGCTTGATCATCTGAAAATTGTAAATAAAGTAAATGCTTGTATCGTAATTCTAAGAGCTATTATTGCATAAGCTATTTTACACAACAAAATTGAAAAAAAAGCTCACATCTCCCGGCGCATTGATACACCCAATGTGGTAGCCGAATTGGAAAGATCCCCAAACGATTGCCAACGTCGTCAAGCATAGCGGACCGGTGAATTTGCCCTGAAAATGAGAAATTGATAAAACAATAAAACATGTAGGTAAGTAAATTGATTAGAAATGAGCAAAATAAAGTTAATTTAAGCTGTTGTAAGCAAACAATTGTCTTTGTCAGAGTTGCGTTGTGTAAACCAGCAAAACTGATACATAAGCTCTGGTTTGTTTATTGAAAAACTTGAATTCCTTAAAACGTAAGAAATAAAAACTAATTTTTAAGTCTAATGTCAAGATATTCAAAAAAGAAAACTTAAAAATCGGTGTTAGTTAAAACATTTTCTTGTTTTGATTGTGAAAATTTGCTAGAAGGCAATAAAACTGATACTCGACCATTGTTAGGACTGGTAGGTCAATAAAAACTTCATCTTGAATAGCTGGGAAAAGCTTTGGAACGAAGATTTCTTCAGCTAGTACTATGGAAAATTGGATATTTTCTAGTTTTTCAAATTCACAAGTGAAATACTCTTAGACTTATCTTAATACATATCTTAGACTAATGTATTTACTGAATTTTAAATTTTTAAATTTCAATCAAAGATTGGCTCACCTCAACTTGCTTCTTTCCGCCTTGGAGGGGCTCCACCTCCAGCTCTTTGGAGGACATCTTTTAGAGAACGAGATCAATAGAATTTCAGATACTAGTGGTTTCTAAAAAATATATTATTTCATTGAAGCAAAATATCTGAATGTTTTAAAGAGACAAAGGGTTGAGTTTGGGACATAAAGTTAACAAAAAGTTCTTTTCTGCCGATTCGATTGATGCTTTGGGAACGAGATGGGAACAACAAAAACAATCAAAAGAAAATAGGAAAATAGAATGAGATAGGAAAGTTGAAAGTTGCAGTTTAACAAGGGTTTCAATTGGTTAATTTGAATTGAAAACTTTGACAACGGATTACTTAACAGTTTAAATACAAATTTTAGACATTTTAGACTAAAGAATACTTGATGATTAGATCAATAAGATCATTAGATTAGATCATTAGATCAATTTTCATCACTCGATAAAGTAGAAGAAAACAAAAGCGATAAACAGCTGTGTACTTTGAAGTTTTTTTTACTAAATTGCGAGAAAAAGGATTGTTTATGAGAAATGGCCGTTCACTAATCGTTATTTTGTATTTTGAGAAGATAAAAACGAAAATGGGGAATATTTGAAAAGGAAAACTAAATTCTAAAAATTCTAAAAATTCTAAAAATTCTAAAACGCGTCCATTTTCTAAAGCTACCCTAAAGCTTGTTTCTATTTTTATCCAATCAATCTACTTTTTTGTATCTTTTAGTATCCTTTATGAACATTTTCATAGTATCAGATTAAAAGTGGAGAAACTGGATAAAACTAGAGAGAAGATTACGGCAGTCGAGAAAGTTTGCAAGTTTTAGAAAACGATTTAGGCCCAGGTTGCAAGTGATTATTTTAAACATGTAAAGCTTGACTCTAACTATAAAAAAAGGGTATGAAAAACAATCTAATACATGATAGTAAATTGATTAGAAACGAACAAAATAAAGTTAATTTAAGCTTTTGCAAGCCAACAATTGTTTTTGTCAGAGTTGCGTTGTGTAAACCAGCAAAACTGATACATAAGCTCTGGTTTGCTTATTGAAAAACTTGAATTCCTTAATTTGAAAATGAAATTATCATATAAGAATTTGAAGGAGATCAGTTCAAATGAAGGAATTGATCATTGAACAAGTGCGGAGAAAAGGGTGGAAGCCGATCAGGGATCGATATGAGGGGAAACAGCGGAATGGGGACTATGCGCTTTCTTTTCGCGGTAGGCAATCCTAGTCGCTAGTCAATAAGAGAAGAAAAGGAGGGGGTCAGCTAGACTAACCCCATATAATAATAAACCGGCTTTGGATTTAGAGCGCTTGCTCAGCTAGACACAAGTAGATGGGTAAACAAGAAGGATTGGGGGTTACTTAAAGAGCGCGCATTTCATTTCCATAACACTTTAGGTCATTTACTCACATTTTGCTAAGCATACACATTATTTAGCTACCTTTGAGCTAGTCGATTTCTTTATAAAAACGTAGAAAATGTGTCGTTTGAGGTGTTCTAACTAAATCTAAAGATTAAGATTAAAATTAGTAGATAATTTTGGTGACGAATAATTAGTCTACCGTATTGTAAAGGCCTAAGAAATATAGCCGGAGATTACTGTAATGCTTTCGAGGAGTAATAGAATAAAGACAGAATATCTTTAAAAGCTGAATATCTTTGAATACCTTGACTGAATCTCTTTAAAGCAACCTTAAATTGGCCAATTTCTACTCTAGCCGTTCACCATTTCGTGCTATTGCCCACAAGGATTACTCTCTAGTTTCTTGGGTTCTAGTCTAAGTACAGTAGTCTAAGTACAGTAGGTTAACTACAATACTAGATACTATTTTAGCCTTGGATTGATTTAAAAAGTAACTACTAGATACCTATCTAAAGTGATCGTATATTTGGCTAATTTCTATCGTAAAGCACACTCCATTTCTAACTGTTTTAGAAAAATTTGGATTGTTTGCTACGGTAAAAAATCTTGAAAAACCACATTAAGTCAAATAAATGACTAGTGAAAAATTCGAAAAATAATTCTTTCACAAAAAAAATGAAAAATGGGAGATTTAACTCCCATCTCCCATTCCAAAACAAAACAGAAAACACTTGAAGCACCGAGATAAATTGCCCGATAAAAGCTTTTCTTCTCAAGAATCAAAAATAATGGGGGAAAGAAGCGGGCGATGCAAAACAACAAAAATTTTACAGGAAATAGAACGATCTCCACGTGGAAAGAACAACATGGGAAACAGGAAAAAGAGGGAAACATTGGCTGATCAAATGTCACTCAAATGGGGGAAATTGCAGCTCTTCGACCGATTGTAAATCAACGTGACAATTTTTTTTACGAGAAAAATGGTGAATTATTGAATGAGAGTGGTAAATGTCAAGAATTGAGAGAAGAGATTAAAGATTGGAGATGAGAAATGAACGCAGTTACATGCATAAAGAACAACTAATCACAATAGGCAACTAATCTCAACTTTTCATGGACTTTTGTTATTCATTTCGCAGAAAGTTCTCCGTAACTTTGTACTAGTTTTCAAGAGCTATCGAATGGCTATAATGAGATGAGAAATGAAAGCAGTTTATCTTTGAATTTTCGCCAAATTATCAGTAAAAGAGCAACGACTACGCGACTGTACGCTCAAAATACCGTTGTCGTGTTAAAAAACAGTTGAAATTTACTATGCAAGAGATAAAATAAGTTACGATACTGGTACTGGTAAAATTTCAAGCGCTACTCAGCTACCGTACTCCATACTTTTCGCAACTTTTCTCTTTCATTCAATGAATGAAGTTCTTGGTTGAAGTTCTTCGTTGAAGTTCTTGGTTAAAGTTCTTGGTTAAAGTTCTTCGTTGAAGTTCTTGGTTGAAGTTCTTGGTTAAAGTTCTTGGTTGAAGTTCTTCGTTGAAGTTCTTGGTCTCAATTCTAGGTCAGACAAAACAAAAATGAAACAACAATGAAAAATATGAAACAACAATGAAAAATATGAAACAACAATGAAAAATATGAAACAACAATGAAAAACAACAAGAAAAGAAGAAAGAAAGAAAATTGGCACTCAACTTGTGAAAGACGATCTCGGAAAAAGTTGTGGGAAGAAGAAAAGGAGAAAATTGAGGAAAAAGCAATACTAGCCGTTCAATGATTGAAAAGTGAAAAGGAAAAAGTTCAAATTTTCTCTGTTCATTTATTTATTTTGCACGGTGCGCTATGATAACCTAATCCCAAGCGTGCCATAGAGAATTAGAGCTGAGTGAGTACCACAAAAATATCGGGAAAAGATGGGCTATTGCACTCAAAAGAAATTTTGCTAAACTTTTCCAATTCCGAAACAAAGTTTAGAGTTTAGCGTTAGAAATTTGATTTTTTTGAAAACTTTGTAGCTTCATAAACTTGTTTCAAGTTAGCAATTCAAGTTAGCAATTCAAGTTATGCTTTCTAAAGGTTAACTTTTCGAGCCTGAAAGTTCTATCAAGTTCTATCATCAATTCAAAGTTAATTATATTAGGTTGAGGAAAAAGTAATGTCGGTTTTTGTCACAAAACTGTTTATTGCTAAAAACATAAACAAACGCACATCAATCAATGGGATATTCTCCAATATTATTGATGGCTTGTTCCCATCTTCGTCGCAAGTCCCTGATCCCATCCTCAAAAAATGGGGGAGTTTTCGAGCCAAAATAAATATCGACTGCTTTTTTTGATCTGTGCAGGATTCTCGAACTTTTCTCCCATAAGAGAACTCTTCAACGACCGAAACAACAAATAATCTGATGGGGTCAGGTCCGGACTATAAGGTGCGTGGGGCAGAAGTTTCCAACCAAGCTCGTCGATTTTTTGCTTACTTTTTCCTCAACCTAATAATATTATAAGATTATTATAAAATTATAAGATAAATATAAGATTTTCAATTTAAAATCCAACTTTTCGTAAGAATATTTAAATTTATAGGCGTCTTTTCAATGATGCAAGGCTTTGTGATGCAATCGAGAAATTGCTAAGGCCCATATGGGCCATTTGAAAGAAATAGACATGATGAAATAAGAAATTGAAGTAGAAATTGTAGAAGAAATTGGGATAAACTAACAAAACATATAAATCTTTATAGAATAAACGCAAATTGAGCCATAAACCGTCAAAATCCAAATCTTTACCTAGTTATGAATGCAATTCACAAACACGCAACCGTTTATGAAAACGAAGCTGGCTCGGAGCTGACATTAGATCGATTAAATGTAAATTAGAAAAAAAAATAGATATTGTAAGAAATTAGAAACAAATTAGAAACAAATTAGAAATAAAAACAAACAAATTTTTCCTATTATAAATAAAAATGAAACATGGTCAATGCTTTTGCACCTTTTTACAACCAGTGATAAAGTAGGCGGTGCAAAAAAGTGTTTAATGATTGACCTACAGGCTAGATAATCAATCACTGAACGAATTTGATGCTCGAAATCGCCTCTAAACTTGACATTTACTGACTGATAGTGAAGAAAAGAGCAATGAAACGCTGAACAACGCTCCGCTTTCCCCACCCTGCACTCACCCTTTTTCACCGCCTTTCTCCACCCGTCTCTCATGTGGGGGTATAGCTCAGGGGTAGAGCGCTCGCTTTGCATGCGAGAAGTCAGGGGTTCGATTCCCCTTACCTCCAGAAAATTTTTAGATTTTTTGCAAAAAACTTGGGAAAAAGTTGTGAATGAGTTTTCACCATAACTAGCAAGGAAATAAAAGATTTAAGAGCTACTATGAGTTAGTAAGAAGAACTAGATGAGATTATCTCGTTCTGGAAGGAATTTGTGAGCAGAAAACAACTCGTGGGTAGTTGAAAAGAATGGGCATTTGGGAGAGGGTTTGGATTGTGAAAAAAGCGATGAAGGATGAAAATATTTAGCCAAAGGGAAGAAGAAGAAGAAAAAGGAGAAGATGAGGGGAAATTTTTGGAAAGCTGAAAAATGTGAGGCTGTTCTTGGAGGGGAGTTGAGCGAAAAAACGGAAACGCAGCAAAATTGAATAGTTTTTTTCGAAAAGACAACACAAACTCCCACAGAATTCATTTTTTTTTCTTGAATTGTTTAATTCTTTGATTTTCTATTTATCAATTAGCTGATAGCATCACTTTTGTTTGTTCATTGACGGAACTGTTTTCAAGGTTTTCTTTTGCTCTTTAGCAAAACTCAGCAAAACTTGCTTACTTATTTCTTCTTTTTTCTTTTATTTTATCTTTAATTAATGATTTTAATCTTTTCAAAACCAGTTTTCTGGTAGATTTTGTTATTTAAAACTGTGTTTTTCCGGAAAAATGAAAGATGAAATTTGGCTTTTCAGAAAAATGGGAGAAAAATGAAAGATTTCCTGGTATAGCCCGCCACTTCACCCATCCAACAATTTGAATTCTTTAAATCTATGTGATTTTAATGATTATTAACTATGTGATTTTAAAATAAATTAAAATTTTTAATACATTAATTTGTTGATCGCGTTTTGTGAAAGCTACTTTTGAAGCAAATGTGAAGAGTCGTTGGCTTTCAAATGTATGTCGTATTTTCGCTTCACCTAAATTGCTCGAAATCTCGAAAAGCGCTTATCAGAATCTATCAATGTAGGGTCGGAAAATATAGCTGACGATGAGATCTTGCGGGGGATTTGGGTGTTGAGCTTCTGCGAAAACTTGGGAACTATAAAATAATCATCAACTCGGCTCGGCCGGACCGAGGGAGAGAGGGCAATACTATTAGAGAGAATACAGAATACCGTATTCTCTCTAATAGTAGTGCACCCAGAGCGTCACCTAAATTGCTCGAAATCTCGAGAACCGGTTATCAGAACCTATCGATGTGGGGTCGAAAAATGTAGCTGACGATGAGATCTTGCGGGGATTAGAGTGTTGAGCTTCTGTGAAAACTTTGGAATCCGTAAAATAGTCACCAACTCGGCTCGACCGGGGCACTACTATTAGAGAGAATACGGTAATCCCAATTCCCAATTTTCATTGTTTCCTTTGTGTTTTTCTTTCTTCTTTTCGTTATCAACCAAGCGACGCGAGTTGAGTGTGCACTTTTAGGATAAAAAGCTCTCCGTTTCTCTAAAAAAAAAAGCCATTTTATCCCTCGCTTCTCACTCAAAAAAGAGATTTCACCTGGTTCCTGGCTAAATATTTGTCTGCTTTTGTCTGCTCAAGTTATTCCATCAATGTCTTCCCGTTACAAGCTCACTTATTTCTATTTTCGGGCAAAAGGTGACTTTGAGGTTTTGAATGACTTTAAAAAAAGTTTTAGTTATGTTTTAATGTTTATTGTTTAATGTTCAATTCGATTCCAGGTGAAAACATCCGTCAAATCTTGACTCTAGCTGGCGTCGAGTTCGAGGATGTGAGAGTGCATTGGGACAAGTGGCAACAAATCAAGAATGGTAAATGAATTCCGTAATTACTGTAATTACTGTAATTATTGTAATTATTCGAATCAAATACACAAATACACAAATGATGAAGCACTGAAAGCGGGGGTTGGGACAAATGCGACCTTTTTTTGCGCACCTGGACATTTGCGCACCTTTTTTTTTGCTGGAAAAGGCCTTAGGAAAGGTCGTAGAGCTTCAAAAATGTTTTCATAGAAGGGAATCGTATGCGTAGATTCCGAATTTCGACAAATCAGACCTCGCTGACACGTCAAATTTGGGCTAAAAGGCAAAAACTGCGGAAGAGCGTTAAGTTGCGTAGTTTTTGCCTTTTAGCCCAAATTTGAAGTGTCAGCGAGGTCTGATTTGTCGAAATTCGGAATCTACGCATACGATTCCCTTATATGAAAACATTTTCGAAGCTCTACGACCTTTCCTAAGGCCTTTTCCAGCAAAAAAAAAGGTGCGCAAATGTCCAGGTGCGCAAAAAAAGGTCGCATTTGTCCCACCCCCCCTGAAAGCCAAAAAAGTTACACTAAATCGCGAGTTTTCAAGTGAAATCTCTAAAATTTTACCACAAAATGCACATTTCATAGAAACAATTATAGAAAGAAACAAAATTTGAATTCTCTTTACTTATCACTAAGTCTATCAATTAGAACAAAGCTGGATTTAATCAGAGCAACCATTCAGAGCAACCAACCAGCTACCATCTTTCAGAGCAACCATTCGGCCAATTACCCGTTTTCGAAGAGGACGGCAAATGTCTTCCCCAATCGAAAGCCATTTGTCGATATCTAGCTAAAAAGTACGGTAAGTGAGTAAAGTTATGAAAAAGCTATAGTTTCCAGGGTTGGCCGGGGAAAACGAATGGGAAGCGGCTCAAATTGACGCGCTCTCCGATCAATTTGAGGATTTTTTCCAAGAGATTCGACCATTTTACAAAACCTACAATAAGCTGATTGAGGGGAATTTGGTAAAAAAGTGATCAAATATCTAAATAGCTTTCATTTCTAGAATGATGTCTATGATAAAATCGTGGAACCAGCCCGGGACAAGCATTTACCCATTTTCTCCAAGTATTTGGCCGAAAGCTCGAGTGGATTTCTGGTGTGGTTTGATAGGGAATTTGGTTTTGCTGGTTTTTGTGCTGAAAATTTGATTTTAAACTTATATGCATTTTATTGCTTAAAACTGAAGTTCCTCGTTTACTGTCGGTCTATGAAGGGAATCTTGGTGTGTTCTGTTTCTTCTTGAAATTATCTTCAATTGAATTCGTTCTGAATTCGTTCTAATTGTTATTATTTCATAAGTATTTATAGCCAAAAGATAGCCAATTATCCACAGAATTTAAATCATATTAAAGTTTTTAAAGAACTTCTTTAGCTTTTGAGTTATCACAATTTGCGTGAGCTCTGTGCCCTCACCAGTTATTTGTATTAACAGTACAAGAAGATTTGTCAAACTTAGAACTCAGACGATTAGGAGTATTCAAAAATCTTGTTTATCAGTTCTAAACTGGAAATACAACAAAAGTTTTCCATAAGTTTGTCATTTTTCTAGAAATTTTGCAATAAAAAAAGCGCAAAAAGAAGTGCGACCAGAGATCTTTTTTTGAAGAGCATTGAATAGCGATAACTCCAAATCTAGAGAGGTTATTTAAAAACTGAAATAAGATTTCAATTCTGTAAAAGATTAGCTATCTTTTGGCTATAAACACTTATGAAATAAAATCGATTAGGAAGCTTTTAGAGGATTCTAAAAAGGACACAACTTTCGCCGAACCTTCGCCGAGTGTTTTGTGTGGAGTGTGTTCCTCGCGAGTAATGCGTTTTTTTAAAACGCACACTTGGGAAAAAATTACCGTACTTTTAGCAAAAATTATTACAAAAAAGGGGTAGGTTACTTTGCGCCAAATTTTTTGCGCAACTGGGTCATTTGAGCAACTGGGTCGTTCGCGCAACTCGCCATAACTTTCTTCTAAGTCGGTCAATCTTTAGGATTTTGGTTTCCTTTTGTATGTCTCAATAAGTGCAACAAAATAACACCAAAATCATAAAGATTGGCCGACTTAGAAGAAAGTTATGGCGAGTTGCGCAAAAAATTTGGCGCAAAGTAGCCTACCCCCAAAAAAATGACGTAAAAATGACGAGCCCCGCATTATATACGACACTTTTTAAAGATATTCAGCCGTTTAACTGAGTATCTTTGCTTTGGTGGCAAATTCCCTTCCAATGTAAAAACATGATTTTTTTTTTGAAAAACCTGCGCAAAAAAAAATGGGAGGTAGTCAAATGAGCGCCAAAAATTGAGCGCCAATCATTTCAGCGCCAACGATTTGGCTCACGCTTATTTCAGCGCCACTCATTTGAGCGCCGTGCCAAAAATGACTGGAAAACAATCATTTGAGCGCCAAATTAAAAAGGCCTAAAAACGTTCATTTAAGCGCCGGGCTAAAAATGACTGGAAAACGTTCATTTCAGCGCGACTAAATTTTAATATTTTTGCTTTCTACGCTGCTTTTGCATGTTTTTTAGGGTTTTGCTTCTGTTTTTACACTTTTTTCACTCATTTGACCTAGGGCACGGCAGTAGGCACCAAATGCGCGGAAAAAATTGTTAGATTAGCCCGTATTTAAGGTTTTTTTGATGAAAATGTGTAAATTTGCTAGTTGTATGATATTTTCCCCCAATAGCATGCTTTTTCACCGTTTCTTGCCGTTTTCGTTTACAATTTGCTTACAGTTAACATAGTTCTTTGCTTAGGCTCGTGAACTGCGCAAGAAGCGGCGAGACAAAGGAACACTCTGAGTCAAAGTAACGTTTTGTTCATGATTTATTTGGGTTTATTTTGCTGCCAAGAATTATTTTTATCTTAAGATGATTGCGATTGCAATTGTTGTTGTTATTGCGTGTTAACTAGTTGAATAAAAACATACAGTAAAAACTTTGAGATCATGCAGAAAATGCAAAAATAACATGCATATACAGAATGGGCTGATTCGGCGCTGAAATGAATGTTTTCCAGTCATTTTTGGTGCGGCGCTGAAATGAACGCGCGCTGAAATGAACGCGCGCTAAAATGATTGGCGCTGAAATGATTGGCGCTCAATTTTTGGCGCTCATTTGACTACCTCCCAAAAAAATTGCTTTTATATTTTTTTCGCACAGGCGCACTTTTAAGAAAACGCATTACTCGAGTAAAAAAATTACTCATGAAAACTCGAGTAATTACGTACTCGCGAGGAACACACTCTAGTTTTGTGCTCCCATACTCACCCTCTAGCGCACCTGTTTCCTATTTTGTTTTGCACAAATCAAGAATGTTTTAAAAGAAAGCTTATAGCTATGAAAAGTTTCCATAAATAAACTCTAGGTTGGCTCAAAATTGTCATGGATTGACACTCAACTTGCCGATCACATGTACACGTTTACCGAGTTTCGACCCGACTACGCTCGAAGATATCCACAGGTTTATTTAAAAGATTTCTAGAATTAAATTATAAATCAAGATTCTTGATTTCAATATCAATAGCTATTAGATAGTTTAAAAGATTGTAAAAGAAAAAGAAACGCTTTGTTTTTAGATTGAGTACCATCAAAAGCGGGTTCATTCAATCCCCCGGCTACGCGAATGGATCGAGAATCGACCGCATTCTGTGATTTGATTTAAAAAGAGTTTTTACTATGATAAAATAGTATTTTTCATCTAGAAATTGCAATAAATATCCAGAAAAATCCAGACGCACAAATCACAAAAACGCATAGAGTTTCCGTGAACAAACATTGGTTTCTTTTTTGGCTCAAAAATCGATTTCCTTTCCGTTTACTGGTCGAAAAAAAGAGAAAAAAGACTAGTTTTTTTTTGCTGAAATCACATAAAATGACACTAATATTGTGCTTTTTCTAGTTTTTGCTCAATTTTTGAGTTTTTTTTGTATAAAGAGCCCCGTTTTTCAAGGTTTGTCGTTTACTTTGAAAGTTTTCAAATGAATTTTTTGCCTTACTCAATTGTATCTTAAACAAAACATATTTTTTGTTCTATTTTTTGCAAAACTGTTTGAATTCTTGAGTTAATTAATCTAATTATAAGATTTTTATAGTTTTTTTTGTTGTCAAATATGGTTCACTACAAGCTTGTTTACTTTCCCGCGAAAGGACTCGGTGAGTGAAGAGAGTTGATATTATATTGGGTTGGTGAATTGAAAACTGCCGGCTATTGTCATATGTGACAGTTTGAGCACTTTTTTTAAAAGAAACCCATTTTGGTGTCAATGGAAAAGTTGTAGAGAATCAAAAATCAAGCTTATATCCAAATTTTCAGAACGATTCAAAAACTGGTTTTCAAGAAATGCCAAATTTACGAATTTTCACAAAACTTGCATTTTAAGCGAAACTACTAAGTGTATCTTTTTGCAAATTTGGCTATAAGCCTAATTTTTGATTCTCTACAACTTTTCTATTGACACCAAAATGGGTTTCTTTTAGAGAAAGTGCTCAAACTGGGACATCTCCAGTCCTCCATTTTTGAGTCTCACACTGGTCTCACACACAAACCAAAATCCTACTACGAAAAAGGAACCCGCAAATTGCCTGTAAAATGGGCAGAAGTCGTCAATAATAATGGAAATTATTTGGAATGAATTCATGGTTTTATGTTCAATAAATTTTAATTCAAAGTCCCGCAGTTTTCAATTCACCAACCTAATACTATAAAATATAACTTTACCTTTATAACTTATTTTCTATGTATATCTAATCTACTTTATTTAATCTAAACTACGTAAACAAATCTAGCTTATCTTTCAATGAGTTTATGAAATGACTTATGAATGAGATTGTGGGACAGACGAGCCTCACCCCTTTTCCCTTTGACAATCTAACTTTGAGCTGAAATTTCTTGGTGTTGGGCTGTTCAATTGAAATATTTTTTTATACCAATCGACAAAAAAAGAATTAACGCATCTAATAATACCTAGAATTTATAAATTGGACAACCCAACACCAAGAAATTTGAGCTCAAAGTTAGCTTGCTAATGGGAAAATGGGTGGATGGCTGATAACCTATACCGTATTTTCTGTAATAGTAGTGCGCACTACTATTTTTTTTCAATCCCCCTCCTGCCTGCACTACTATTATAGACTGCACTACTATTACAGAAAATACGGTATATGACGTGCAAAAACGTTTGATTTATACCATACTTTTATGAGGATGATTTTTATTTTTGAATATATTGAATAAACAGTATTTGAATGGCTAAGGAAGCTAAGCTAACTAAAAATAGGTGATGAATTTCTTTAAACCCATTTCTCTCAGCCGAAACACCCCGTCAACTCTTCGCATTGGCTGGTGTCGATTACGAAGATGTACGGATTCCGAAAGAAGAATGGCCACAGCATAAACCAAGTAGGATTGGATAAAGCTAAAGATTACAATAGCTTTTGAAAATAGACACGTTTTAGAAAACGCATTATCAATATCAATATCAATAATATCGAACTACTAGATCCCGGTTTAGATGCCCCATTTGGCACAGCTCCATGGCTGGAAGTTGATGGGAAGAAATTGGCCCAATCAAGAGCAATTAATCGTTACTTGGGCAAGAAATTCGGTGACAAAGCCAAATATTAAAAAAAAAAAAAACAAAGATTTAGGTTATGCCGGTAAAGATGACTTTGAGTCGGCTCAAATCGATGCTTGGGGTGATCAATTTAGCGACTACATCGTTGACATCAGAACGTATCTCCCGGTGGCTGCTGGGATGGCTGAAGGAGATAAAGAGAAATTGTACAAAGAAGTCGTTGAACCGGCTAGGGAGAAATTCTTCCCGTTGGTGGTGAAACGACTTAGCGAGAACGAAGCTGGGTTTTTGGTGAGCCTTTTAATTAGTACTGGTTGAATCTGAACTGGTCTACCGTAAGAGTACCGGGGCTAGCTATTCCAGATCAGATCAGGTCCAAACGTTTCATAGAACGAGGATAGATCAGTTCAGTACCCAGTTTAGCCTAACTTCTGACCGAATACCTTATCTGGACTGGTTCAAAACATTTTTCAAAGCCAGATCATGTAAGCCATTCCTGGCTGGGTTCTGATCTGATTTAAACGGATTGAATTTTTGTAGTGATGCTCATGATACCAAATTGCTCATGATTCTATCATCCAGTGTGGGGAATTGAGCTGAAATCCTGTCGGATTTTGGGTCTTAAACTTTGAGGCCAGATATCTTGCGATACAGAGCTCAATTGGGGAAAACTAAAAGCGGATTCAGAATCCCCATTCAAATTTCTATTAAATAAACAAGATGTGCATCAAAACAATGCATCAAAGCTGATATGCATCAAAGCTGATGTGCATCAAATCAATGCATCAAAGCTGATGCCTTTCCCTAGTGAGAGTTGTTTGGAACATCTTAAAAACAAAGCTAAGCAATCTCGAACTTAAGTTGAATCTGATTTGAGTACCTATATCATCAAAAATCCATTCTCCTCCAGGTTGGCGATAAACTCTCGTGGGCGGATCTCTTTTTCGCGAATCATCTCGAGTATTTTGTCACCGGTGGCTTCAATTCTTCAGATTATTTAGATAAATATCCAGAGGTATGCTAGAGAAGCTAAAATATTAAAATGATTGTTTTTAATGTTTAATTTAGCTGCTTGCTTATCAAAAACGAATTCACAACATCCCGGAGATCAAGAAATGGATCGAGAAACGCCCACAAACTGCACTTTAAAGAAATTTTTAAATGATTTGATTGTTATATTTTTTTTAGATATTTTGATATCTTTCAAAGCTATATATTTTTGAAAGATTGCATTTTTAATAGCCTCAAAAGCTTTCATAGAACTTTCAATTGTTATAATTGATTAATAAACAATTCACAAATGAAGACGATAAGCTGAAAATGAATATTTGATCTTTTGAGTGTATAAAAGAAACAAAATTGAATTGAAAGCATTAGTAGTTCATCTTTCAATTTAATCTAAAGTATTCAGTTTTATGTCTACGTTATTTTTTCTTTACCGTAATAAAAGTCTTCAAGATTTTCTGCTGTATTTATTTTATTCGATTGTTGAGTCACAATCGAATCCAGAGAAAGATCCCTTGTTGTGGTTGCTGGGTTGCTCGAGTTTGTTGGCAGCGTTTAAATCATTTACAATAGTTCTTTTGTTTTGTTGTCTATTAGAAAAAGCATGCTTGAAACAAGCTTAAAAATGCTTCAGTTCTGGTTGGATGACAATCAACTTGCAAGCTTCTCAATCCTATCATAAAAGTTATTTTTTTAGCTGACACCTGAAAGTCATCAATAGCTCTTACTCGTGGAATTTGAACGCTTTGATTATCTTTTTGTTTTCACCTGTGAATTTTGTTAGATACTTATATTCAGATATTAAAGGCGATTTAGCAATCGATGTCAATCAGTTTTGTAAGAATACGATATAAAAACTACAGGATGACCACGAATTATGGTAACACCTCAATGAGGAATTAAAAGGCTCAAACAATGATATAAAAATCTTGTTGATTAGATGTAAACAAACAGTTTGACTACGATAGTTCTCTCCAATAGATCTCTTTTAGACACATTATTCGAGTGAAGAGGAGCACACTTTAATCCCCATATTCTAGGCAATTTTGTGAAGACATCGATCTTGTTTGCAACGTGAATTCACGAGGAAAATATTCAAGCTATTGATATTGATCAAGAATGTACGCTTTTGAGCGGTTTTGGTAGATGTTAAGCTGAGTTTTCACGCGTAGAGTTAGCAAAAATGAATTTGTAAGCAACTAATCAATTTTTACCCTTTTCTGGTTAAATCTTTTTCACTTTTTGAGGCTTATAACTTTGCTCAGAGACAAAATAATTGATACCCCAATTTTTTTTTTCGCTTTTGCATTGTCATGGCAACAAAATAATTGAAAGCAGCTAAAAAAGTGAGAATTGTACTCAACAATGCAAAAAAAATAGTTTTAGAATTTTGAGACAACAACTTTTGAAAGAATAAAGGTCAATTTCTCTAGAAATTTTCAGAAAAAGAAAATTTCTAGAAATTACAACTTACAGTTCTCAGTTTTCCCAGTACTATAGATACTATGGATACTATAGAATTTAGAACTATAGTACTATTGATCTGGGTTGTTCCGAAGGTATTTTTTCGGATAAGCAGACCGAGCTATTACCTGGCTTCTTTCTGGTTAGGTTCTACTGAAGAATTGGACAAATCTGGTCTACAATAATTCCTGGACCTAGCTTCTGATCAGGTTTTGATTTGTCTTGGCCTAGTCTTTCAAAGAAAAATACAAGTACAAGTACAATTTTAAACTTAACTTTTCGCTTGGCCTGGCTAAGCACACATCTTTCGTAGACTAGCTTTTTGTTTTACTAATCTCATTTGTTTTTCTTCATTTGTTGTTTTTCATTTGTTTTCTTAATCTAATCTATTATAGATATAATATATCTCTAGAGATTGTTCTAGAACCGCTTGAAACGCTTTCTAGGTAACCATTATCATCATAAGAATTAAACATGATGACGAATGTAACAGAGCACAATTTTCAGAAAACTCCTATAGAGATGGGAAAAACGGGAGAAGAAAGGGGCGGTGCGTTGACAAGAAAAGAGAGAAAAAGGCAGCTCTAGTTTGTGCATTTTGTGCCTTCTGTCCTATTTGTGTGCCCTGGGTATAAAGAGGAAAGGGGAAGGCCATTCCCCAGCACTGCCCAAATCCTCATCTCGCTCACCCACCTCGCTTCTCCAACTCCATTCACCCGCAAACATAAGTGACCCTCTAGAGCTATGCTTAGATTTTAAACATAATTATTATAGATATAAAATAGCTAAATTATGACTGAAGTAGATATTTAGTTAGTAGATATTTTAGTTGTGTAGTCCTCCATCACTGATCAAGTCCTTTCCAACTCCATTCACTCGTAAACATAACTGACGATGAGAACTATAATCTTTTAACATATCTACATGCCTATAAGACTTTTGAATAAATTATAAATTTCGACGCGTAGTTAGATTCCTATTAACGTGCGGTTTTAAGGGACTAGCGCGGAAGCGGCGTGGCGCGCTTTCTAAAGCGTGGATGCACTACCGTACCCCACACAAAAATTCCTCTTTTGCCGTTCTTTTCATTTTTTCCTCGATTCCCTTATGGGATCATCTTCCCCCTTCGTAAAATTTAGTATGTTTTTGTAGCGCGTTTTTAAATGTTCTCCGGCTGTCATTCCATGATGTTATCGGAAAATTTGTCCGGCCTTTATGCCGAGTCTGGCTAAGTTTTCTTCCCCCTTCGTAAAAACTAGTATGTTTTTGTAGCGCGTTTTTAAAGTACTCTCTCCCCTCGTTCGTTCCCTCCTTTTTATATTGTTTTCCCATAATTTGTTGTTTAAAATTCTAATACGGTTTTGTTTCGTTTTCTTTTCGGCTCCTTCGACTCCATTGTTTTGAATCCGTTCACACATGCTGTATAAACTTAACTTAACCAATTCCTTTTAACTAAAACGCAAATCTAACTAATTTGCCACGGCGCGATCTTGCTACTTTGTTTTGGGTTTCGTATCAAATCATTTTGGAAAAGGGTTAGTAAATCTAAAGGTGTTAGGTAAGGGAGTTGGTTACTAACTGCGTGACATAACCAAATTGATCATTTAACTAACAATAAGCAGCATTCTCTTTCCCAACCCCGTCCTAAGTGACTCTAGAACTTTGCTTAGATTTTTGATATACCCAAACAATCATTTAGATGTATAAGTGGATATTTTGTCTGCAGCATGACTTTAGGTTACAGTTTTTCTGTGATATTTGCATGTGTTTCAAGATTTCCACTACATAATCTCCTCTCACCCCAAAGGTTCCGAATAGTTTAAGATGGTACAAAGACTTCCACTTCCATCACTTTGCTTCATACCCCAGTTTTTGCTCGTTGACATCTGCTGCTGCAATTACAGTCAGCAGATTTTCTTAAAAAAATCTGGCTTATCTCATAAAGACGGATAATTGAACTTTTTTCTTCTAACCAATGTCCAACTTTTCCATTTTACCAAATTCTATTTTTAAAACAGCATTTTTTTTGGTGAAATTTCCTTTCTCATTTCCCTTGCAGTTTCCCCATTCATTGCCCAAGCCGCTCTTGACCGAAGTAAACAACTTTTTTTGACTCGCCGTCGAAAAAACCAAAGCACAAATTCCCAGTTTTTGGGGAAATTTCCTGCATCAAAGTTCTAAAGTATTCTGAAAACTAAAAAAGTTTTTTATTTTTTAATTATTTTCCATTCCCGACCACTTTTCCCTCATGAATTTTCAATTAGCAAACAAAAAAATTTGCGAGGAAGCCTCTAGAGAATTTTTGTCTTTCAGAAGTTCATAATTTTTGCCTTTTTTTGCTTTTTTAATGAAATTATTTTAGAAAACAATTTACCGCAAGTCGAACACGATGGTTCACTACAAGCTCTCCTATTTCCCGATTCGTGCATTGGGTATGGGATTTTTTTAGCTAAAATAGTTGGATATTTAAAATCTAGATGTATTTAGTTTAATGCTTTATCGAAAATTTTGCAGCTGAGACCGCCCGGCAACTCTTCGCCCTCGCCAACGTCGACTTCGAGGACGATCGAGTGCCCCGTGAGCAATGGCCTGATTTCAAGCCAAGTACGGTAATTTTGAGCAAAATTTCGATAGTTTTAGTTTTATTGCATGTATGCAATAGTTTTGGTTTAGTTTAGTTTAGTTTAGTTTAGTTTAGTTTAGTTTAGTTTAGTTTATGCAATAGTTTTATTACAATCATGTGCTTTGCTATTAGGCCAGTCAATAAGTAATGAGCGTCTCCTTTATTTACAATTTTGCAAAAGCCAAACCATAGATCTTTCTAATATTTTAGTACGATAATTATCAAAGAGATTAACATTATTGTACAAAGTAAGAAATAAGTAATAAACTTTTTGTTGAAGGAGATTTTGAAAATCGAGTTCTTACTCTCCTAAAGACTCCTCCTCAAAGCCCAACCATCAGATTGAACTGAAACTTTGTACAATAATGTTAATCTCTTTGATAATTATCATACTAAAATATCAGAAAGATCTATGGTTTGGCTTTTGGAAAATTGTAAATGTAGGAGAGGCTCATTACTTATTGGCTGACCTAATAAAATCAAAATTTCTATTCTTGCATTTTAGAGACTCCATTCGGACAAATGCCCGTGTTGGAGGTGGATGGGAAAGCGCTCGCCCAATCCCGAGCCATCTACCGTTATTTGGCCAAGAAATTCGGTAAGTTGAACATTAAAAATTATCCATATCCATAGCTAAAAATATAATATTTAAATTAAGACTATATTTTTGCTTTTATAAAAGAAATTGGTTATCTAATGGTTAAATAGTGGAATTTTTTGCTGGGAAGCCACATTTGATAAGATAGGACAAAGAGAGCCGGTGCGCAAATAGAGAAAAGTTTTTTCGTAAATCTCGGCACAAATGGAGGGACTGTTTATTTCTAAAAATGTGGAATTAAGTGCACCAGAAAGGATGCGTTTACACTTTTTAACTCAAAGTACACTACAAAAACAATAAAGATCATTCTATAGCTTTAACCATTTTCATGTTTTTAGGTTTCGCTGGGAAGGATGACTGGGAATCTGCTCAAATCGACGCATGGGCTGATCAATTCGTCGATTACAACAACGAGCTCCGGCCATACTTTGTCGTTGTTGCTGGTTTTGGAGAAGGCGACAAAGAGAAATTGTACGCGGATGTGGTGGAGCCGGCTAGGGAGAAATTCCTTCCATTGGTCGCCAAGCAACTCAAGGAGAACGGATCCGGGTTCTTGGTGGGTGGAAGATTTTTGAGAATAATGCTATTGTGATTAGAGTTCTATATAAGTCGTGATCAGTCAAGTGATTAGAGTTCTGTATTCTATAAGTCGTAAAAAGTTAATTGAAGTGTTCTTTCCAGGTTGGTAGCAAAGTGTCATGGGTCGACTTGCACTTGGCCGGTCACATCGAGACTTTCCTCAGCTTCGTCCCGCACTTCGCTGACAAGTATCCCGAGGTGAGGAGATTGTTGAAAAGCTATTCAAATCAAAATTGGCATAGTCAATTCTAAACTAGAGATTGGATAGTTTAAGAAATAAAGTATCTTAGAACAAAAGTAGAGAAGGAAGGTGGATCCAGCGAGAACATTAGAACAAAAACTTCCACAAGACTTGACTTTAAAAGCCATCTATTAAGTATTAGTAATGGGTTATAAAGCTATAAACTTACGAATATAGTTCTTGATCTGCTTATAGAGTATAAATGTAGTTCCAGAAATTTTCGATTTATTAAGCAAAATAACTAAAATTCTAGGTGGTTGCTCATCAGAAGAAAGTGCACGCGATCCCGGAGCTGAAGAAATGGATCGAGAAGCGCCCACAGACCCCCTTCTAAATAACCCCCAAAACGGGACACAAACGAATGATCTCCTAGACAAAAAAAAAACAAATTGTGAATGTGATCTTTTTCTATGATTTTTCAATTCTTATTCTTTCTAGTAATTTGTGAGTGTTGTAAGATGAATAAATTTTCGAAAACCCAACTTGTACTATTGAACTTGCTAGTAGAATTGAGTCTACAGAGATGCTTACGTTAGTCAACTTTTGCTTCGTAGGAGATGCTAACAAGGCTTTTGCCAGGCTGAACTGTTAAAACCAAAAAGAAGTACAGACAAACTTAAGACTTTGCCGATAACTTACGGTACTTTTAACGCTACTATAATCCTTAAAACGTATCTAAGCCTTTAAAAGGGGATTTTTAAGCTCGTTTATCCAAGAAATTCGAAGAAATCTAGTGCGTCAGAAGTGGTGAACGTCAGAAGAACATTTTTAATGTTTCATTCGTGCTTAACAATCTCAACTTTGAAGATTTGCGGTCCTTGGAAAATCGAAAAAAAGCAGCGCTCAAGGTTATGCGTTCGCTCGCTTTTTTTCGAAAAAAAAGCCATTTCGGGAGCATTTTTCGTGTTCTTTTTCTGAAATTCCCATTTCACTTCACTACTTTTTACTTTTTTTTCTCAATAAGATGCGAAATTCTTCGCCGATTTCCCGGATCGCAATAATCCTATTCCTGGCCACTCTACTCAGGTCGCCTTTTTGCACTTAAAATTGGAAATTTTCAACATTGAAATGCCTGGGTGAACTTTGAAAGCAGAAAAATGGAAACACACCTTTCTTAGTGCACTTAATTGCCTCCTTTTCTCTTTGCGCCAAGAGAAACGAAGAATCCAGTGCACTAGAAAGGATGCGTTTCGAGCAAGCCACCAATCCAATATCATTTTTAGGCTTGTTCTTTGTGGTGTACTTTGTGCTCACTAGAAACAAATCCACTTTGGTGCACTGAATTCTTTCTTCTGATTACGATGACTAGAAAAATGAAGAATTCAGTGCACTAGAAAGGGTGTGTTTCGATTGTTGAGCAAAAAGAACCCTTTGAAGTTAGAGCCAGTGAATAAAAGTTTCTCTATTTTATTAATAGAATTTATTTGTTTAGTTTATGTGACGCTTTTGTGATGGTGAATCACTTTTTTCATTCTCAACGAGAATTTCCTCCAATGGCAAAACATTTCGATAAAGATCTCACCTTTAAATCATCGCATTCTCCGAGAAAACCCTATACGATTATGGCGAATGTGTTTTTAGGATAAAAAAAACTAACAAATTTCATAAAGAACAATTGAAATATGAATTGTAAAATTAACGATATCGATAAATTGATAAGAAATAAGAAAATAAAAAGGCACTTTCTTTGTGAAGGTATATGTAAAAATTGAAATTAAAACGCTTATTGAAGTTGAATGTGATTTGTGCTGATCAGAAATGGTTTTTTTTCTTTTTTTTCTTTCATTTTCTTTTCTTCTCTGTGTCTCTTCCAATAAACAAATCTCTCAATTGAACAAAAATTTTTCGATAAACTCTAGTTTCTGCGAATTGTACAGTGAAAACGGAAATCTGTTCTCTGCCGCCAATCACTCAAACAAAAAAACAAACTTTTTTGAGAGTTTCCCGGGAAAATTTGTTATACATTTAAAAATTTTCTAGAATGAAAAAGAAAAAAGAGTTAAGTGATGGTCAATGGTAAACCTTTTCGAGAAGCCATAGTTAAGCTTATTTCAATAAAGACTCAAGAAAATGAATAGCTTCAATCGATTCGCCGACCCTGAAAACCCCCTGATACAAATTCACAGCTGAATATCTTTTTGTACAAAGCGAGAAATCCTTATGTAAATAAATGGCTGCGTGTTCGTTGTGCGGCCGCGTAATCGCCCTCGATCTGGCGCATGTCTTTCGGTTAACCCCCTCCCTCGGTCCCCTCATAAACTTACCTGGCTGGGGGGCTTTCGTGATCACAAAGACGGAACCCCCATGGTGAGATGCGGTCATTGCACTTTTTGACTGTGTTGACCCGTGTGGCAGCTCCGAGTTGGGGTTCGCTAACAGCTAAATTTTTGCGTGAGGGGCTGCGTTCGCGCGGCCCTTACCAAGAATCGGGAAAAGTTTAATGCAATATTCAGTCAATTCGTCAATATTCAGTTCAGTTCACAATTCAGCTCAACTATCCCCTAAAAAGCAATCCATTGCTCCGTCAATCCAACTTTAACAATTTGTTACTGATTCAGTCGTTTACAAACTCCTGGCATCAATTTTTGCACTAAATTTGGCCGTATTTTTGCAAAAAAAAAAGTCTACAATCTTTTAGAGTACTGCATTTCTTCAACAGTAGCTAAATTGAGAGAACAATTCGATCTGGACTCGATTTTTTGTTATCCATTAGCCTCCAAATCCAATATAGCAATAAGTTAGTTGTCGACAAAAAAAAACAAAGGTGATTTCTTCGATTTCTTCGATTTCTTCTAATCTTTTCCCAAAGTCTTCTATAAATTTTCCTTATCGGTCTTCGGCCTCGATGCCAGAGAAAAGAATTTTTGTGCAAAATTTCCCCTCAACATTATAGCATCACAAACAAATGATTCGCTTTTTTTAAAATGTTATAAACCGTTTTTGAATCATAAAAGCATAAAAGCAGATTTTGATTTGAATTTTTTGTTTTAAAGCTTTCTAAATTTTATGTCTGCTGAATCGATAACTTGCAATTTTGTATCAATCAACATCAAGTAAAATAGTGATCAACTCGGCTCGACGGGGTGCACTAATCAAGTTGAATGAATGTTGCAGTTGATTCAACTTGATTCAACAACAATTGCAACTTTCTTGCAACTTTCTAGCAACTTTCTGGCAACTTTCAACAATTGCAACTGCAACAATTGCAACTTTCTCGCTAAACTTATTTCCATTTTATAGACATTAACTTGTTTGTTTTTTTTCATTTCATCATTTCAAAGTAAAGAAAGAATTTTTTTTTGGGTAAAACGATGGTCCACTACAAGCTGCACTATTTCGCTTTGTACGGACGAGGCGAGCCGGCGCGACAACTTTTCGCTCTAGCCGGTCAACCCTATGAAGACGTGCGGATCAGTATGGAGGATTGGCCTAAGCATAAAGCAGGTGAGACTGTAGATGTAGATGGTAAAGATAGCAAAGAACTATAACTAAAGTTTAAACTTTAAAGCAAAACTATGAGTTTAAGGCTTGAGGCCAAGCCAAGCCAAGCCAAGCCTAGCCTAGCCAAAGCCAAGCCAAGCCAAGCCAAGCCAAGCCTAGCCAAAGCCAAGCCTAGCCTAGCCTAGCCAAGCCTAGCCAAAGCCAAGCCTAGCCAAGCCAAGCCAAGCCTAGCCAAAGCCAAGCCAATCCAAGCCTAGCCAAAGCCAATCATTTTGCCAATTTCCAATAAGTTCCAGTCCAAGCCAAGGCTTTAGGCCAAATCCAGGTCAATGCTATTTGGCTATCCTTGTTTTCTAGCTTTTTTGCTAACCTTGCTTCTGGTGGGCTAAAGAATTAAAGCCAAGCCAGGCCTCAACGAAAAAAAACGATCCCATCCAACTTCAACTCCAAAGTTTTTCGCTACTTTTGATCTGTTGATACAATAAATTATAGAATTATAAATATATATATATATGTCGTAGCCGATTTTGAATGAAATTTTTTCGCAAACCTTTCTAGTAGGTCAACCCTTCAATGTATGAGGACAATATTATATCATTTTGTAGCGGCTTAAATTCTGCGTCGATTGGTAGCAGATTTGTGAGTTTAGGTTAAAAATTGCGGGCGCTACAACGTTTCATTCAAAATCGGCGGGATCCCCGTAGCCGATTATGAATTTCAGCTGATTATGAATGAGTGGGACTAGGTGCGTCCAACCATCAAGTGTTTAGTATCATTGAACGCAGAACCATTGATAATTACCGTAATAATTCTAATAGAAGACCATGGTCTTCTAATTTTCAACCCCCCAAAATTGGTGAGTCAAAAAAGTAGGTAAAGGTCCCCCACATGAATCAAAAAATTAAAAATAGTTAAAAACGATTTCAAACGATAGCCCTTGCCCCAAAACATGCCAAAAACATGTCTAAAAGTGAAATTATTTTCTTGCCCGGACTCCATAGAAAATCTTTCAAAAAAATCCATGTAGGGGACCACATGAAATTTTTCCAAAAAGTTATTTTTTAATTTTTTTCAAAAACTACGTCTCCAATTTTACTGCCGGGGCTAAAATATTACTATCTGGACCCAAATCTTTCATTCTACTTGAACAGAAGTTTTAAAAAGTCCCGATTTCAAGGGGTCAAGGGGGTGGTCTTCTATTGGAGACTGGTCTTCTATTAGAGACTGGTCTTCTATTAGAATTATTACGGTATGTTAAATTTTTTTAATTAAAAAGATTTGATGAAAAGAAAAAAAATTAGAGCGAAAAAACTGTTTGTTTTTGAGGAAACTTTGAAGCCGTGTAAATTTTTTTCTTTTTATCCAATCTTTTTTAATTTAAAAAATTTAACATAATTATCGATGATTCTGCGTTGAATGATACTAAACACTTGATGGTTGGACGCACCTAGACTCACTCATTCATAATCGGCTGTAATTCATAATCGCTTGAAATTCATCATCGGCTGAAATTCATAATCGGCTACGGGGATCCCACCGATTTTGAATGAAACGTTGTAGCGCCCGCAATTCTCAACCTAAACTCACAAATTCGCTACCAATTGCTACCAATGATAACATGACACAGTCAAGTTGATCTTTTTTAGAAATGCCTTATGGACAAGTTCCCGTTTTGGAGGTGGACGGCGAGTTTCTCCCGCAATCGAATGCCATCTATCGCTTTTTGGGAAGACAATTTGGTATGAGAAATTTATTGTATTGTATCTAATCTATTGTAATCTATTGTACTATTGTACTATTGTCTCTATTATACTTTGCGCTTGAAATATTGAGTCGACGAGTCTGAAATTGGCTGCGTATTCGGACGAACTTTTGACAAAAAACTAAAACGATAACTTTTTCTCAATTTTTTTCTAATAACAATTGAAGTTTTGGTGATTAAATGCATTAAATGATCCAAATCTGATGCAAAGTTTTTGAGAAATGGAAATAGATGTGCTAAAGGTTGATTTTTGACTATCATTTAACGTGTACCGTATTTTCTCTAATAGTAGTGCCCCCGTCGAGTCGAGTTGTTGACTATTTTACAGTTCCCAAGTTTTCACAGAAGCTCAACACTTAAATCCCCGACAAGATCTCATCGTCAGCTACATTTTCCGACCCCACATCGATAGGTTCTGATAAGCGGTTCTCGAGATTTCGAGGAATTTAGGCAACGCTCTGGGTGCACTACTATTAGAGAGAATACGGTATATTGATTTGATAAGTATTTGTATTATCTGCTTTATTTGTCCTGTACTAATGCTATCGAAATTAAGCCAACCTATGACTCCGTTCCGTCTCCAACCGTTCCGTCAAATGTTTAATGTTACTTTAATAGATTATTTCCCGTATTCTCTCTAATAGTAGTGCACTCGGCCGAGCCGAGTTGATCACTATTTTACGGATTCCAAAGTTTTCACAGAAGCTCAACACTTAAATCCCCGACAAGTTCTCATCGTCAGCTACATTTTCCGACCCCACATCGATAGGTTCTGATAAGCGGTTCTCGAGATTTCGAGGAATTTAGGCAACGCTCTGGGTGCACTACTATTAGAGAAAATACGGTAGTCAAAAATCGACTCCATTTCTGTAACAACAGTTTGTAACAACAGCAAACTCGACTAGCTTCCAGTTAAAATAGGTATTTTATAAGATAATAGATTTATTATCTTATAAAATATTCAATTCAAAATTCAAATTTCCATAATAAAAATGAAAAAAAGACGAAAAAAGAGAAAAAAAGACTAAGTCCTAAGTGTCTAAGTCCATAAAAATATCTCATCTATTCTCAAAAAGTCAAAAAGTTCGTATTTGAAAATTTTTGGTCAACGAAAATCTTAATTTTATGTTGGTTTTGGCTAACATTTTTGTAAAAACATATTGGCTTAAACGATTTTTGAATCTAGCAAGTTTTTAGCTCGCTTTTAAGGGAAAATTAGCAAAATTTTCTATTTAAGGTTATGCTGGAGAGACTGAAATCGAGGCGGCTCAAGTGGACATGATTGGTGATCTTTTCCAGGTCCTTTTCCAGGAATATTCAAAATTTAAGAATAGCTAGAGACAAAATGACGATATATTTTGATTTTATTTAGGATTACTTTAACGAGTACCGCGAGTATTTCACCGTCGCTGTCGGCTTCACCCAGGGTGACAAGGTTAGCAGAAAAAAAAACAAGAAAAGACAAAGAATTCCTCTGTGTTTCAGGAGTTTTTGTTCAACTCGGTGATGGTGCCAGCGAGAAACAAAATGCTCCGATACCTCTCAAACATTCTCCGATCGAATGGAACCGGGTTTTTGGTGAGTCTTGCTAATTTGGTTTGGCTAAAGTCAAGCTTAGCAATAAGCTAGTCAAGCTAACAATAAGCTATTCGAATTCTGCCATTGTCAAAGCTTTGCTTTTGGGTTTTTACTTTTAATCTTTTTTAATTTCTTTAAATCTTTTTTAATTCTTTGCAAGCAATCTTTGATTACTTGACCTGGCTTCTAACGGCTAACCAGGGAACCTTCCCAAGTTACCCGCGAGTTACAATATGAGGTAAGTGCAAAAAGAAAGGCCTGAAAATGTACGTTTAGAAACTGTTTTCAAAAACCGCTAATCGGCAAAACGCACAAAGTTACAGTCATTTGAATTTCGAAAAAATGAAGGCTTTTCTCGAATTTCTGGCAAACTGATTTTTGCCGGCGGAAAGGCTTTCCTTTTGCCATCCCAAAAGTCAGCTCGTAGCCAAAAGTCAGCTCGTAGTTAGCGTGCCTGCGCTTGGAACTCTTTGATCTTGGTTCGGATCCACCAGCAGTAAAACTTCTTGCTTTTTTTGAAAAACATTAAAAAACCTTTTTGATTATTAGAAATTGGTAAGCCTCTTATAAAGAAGTGAAGGAATTGACAAGAGAAAGTAGAAGGGATCTGCTTTCCGGGCAATTGCTCTAATCATTGAGTTATCCGGTAGCCTAACTTGCCAAAAGAAAGAGGGAAGACAACGGGGAAGAAGGGGAATAAAGGGAATAAAGGGAAGAAGGGGAAGAAGGGGAAGAAGGGGAAGAAGGGGAAGAAGGGGAAGAAGGGGAAGAAGGGGAAGAAGGGGAAGAAGGGGAAGAAGGGGAAGAAGGGGAAGAAGGGGAATAAAGGGAAGAAGCGGAAGAAGGGGAAGAAGGGGAAGAAGGGGAAGAAGGGGAAGAAGACTGGTCACGGCATCAAGAATGACACTTCGGATTTAAATAACGAGTTCGTTAGTTCAATTCCAGAAATTATCCCTACATTAGAGCTGCCAGATGCCTTGCGTTTACAAAGAACAAATTTGAAAGGTAAATTCGTAAGTAGCGCAGTGGATCTGGATCAATTCTTTCAAAACTTCGTTTACCAAATTATGAGCTACCAGTAAAGCATTGGATGATGAGATAAATAAGCATTAGATCATTTCATTGTCAAGTCGTTTTCAATTGAAAGCAATTGCAATTGCAATAAAATTTCATTTCGAAAATTTTTCAGGTTGGGAAATCGGTGACGTATGCCGACTTGTTGCTTTCGATTCACACCGCTGGAATGGAGGGGATTGCGCCCGGGTTCTCAAACGATTTTCCTAGGGTAGATTTTAGAAATAAAATCTAAAACTCAAGAATTTGATAGATTAAACTTAAAGAGCTAGAAGAAAGAAGCTTAAAATTGATTTCAAAGTTGAAATCGTTGAGCGAAGTTGAAATCTTTGACCAAATTGAAATCGTTGAGCAAAGTTGAAATCTTTGACAGTGGAGATCTTCCTAAAAGACGTTTGAGTCTTGAAAACTGATTTTTGAAAGAATTATAAAAGTTTAAATGATTAAGAGGATTTTAAGCTAGCCTTTTATTAAACTTTTCAGCTATTTCAGCTCAATATTTCTAGATCTTGGAGCACCGTGAGCGAATCGAGTCAATCCCGCAGCTTAAGGAGTACCTAGCTCATCGGCCATTCGCTCCATTCTAAAGAGTTTTTTTTTTTTAAAGAATCGTATTTCTTTATAGCTAGTCTTTAGTAATTTTTGTTGGACTTCAAAAAACGAATAAATAATTTATTGTTCATCATCATCATCGACAACCTATACATACAGTGACAAAAGAGATCTATCGAAAGCTAGAGGGGAATTTGAAAAAGGGAAAGATTTGGGAAAGGTAAATAAGTTATCGATCGATCGAGATGGATGTCGGTTTTTTGTCGGATGGCGAATGGAGGATGGTGAGTTTAACCGCGTTTGTGGTGTTTGCGGTGTTTGCGATGTTTGCGAGCGGCGCCGTGGTGCTTGCGGCCACCTCGGCGGTGAGCACGGCGATGAGCTCGGATGCGACGGTGGAGGTTTCGGCGGTGAGCTTTGCGTTGACGCTAGAAATTTGAGAAAATTAGCTTTCTTTTTGTCTTCCTGATAGCTTCTAAACTTTTGATACTTCGAAATACTATAGCTAAATTCAGAAGTGAGTTTGAAATGAATTCAATCTCATCTCCGAAATCTAATTTTCCTTGCTATCCCTTGACTTCTTTATTACAAAATCGAGCTTGACTACAAGCTGCTTAAGCTTAAAACCTAATTGAGACCTAAAACTTTGTTTACCTGGAGCTTAGCACGGAGAGCACGACGGTGCTTGCGGATCTTGCGTTGCTTGCGGATTGAGCGGAGTTTGGCGATGCGGGCACGCTTGTGAGCACGCTTGCGTTGAGAGAAAGAGACCGATCGGGTGTGGCGTCTCTGGAATTGATTGATTAATTTACAATTTCAATTCTAAATCTTCACCTTCTTCAAAGCACGACGGTGTTTGCGGTTGGCGTGCTTCTTAGCGACACGGCGGCGGTGGACGCGACGACGCTTGATGAGCGATCGTTTGTGGGCCTTGCGGTTAGCACGGCGGCGCTTGAGGAGAGCTCGTTTGTGAGCACGGCGTTTGCGGAGTTGGTGAGCCTTGCGGTGAGCACGGTGCTTGCGGACGTTACGTTGACGGCGGTGGACACGGTGTTTGCGGAGTTTGCGGTGGTTACGGCGGCGACGGATGGAGGCACGCTTGTGGGCACGGCGTTTGCGAAGCGAGCGGAGCTTCTTGTGAGCACGACGTTTACGGAGAGCGGCCTTCTTGTGGTGAGCTCTGCGCTTGCGGATTGAGGAGCGCTTGTGGTGAGCTCTGCGCTTGCGGAGTGATGAGCGCTTCTTGTGGGCTCTTCTCTTGTGAAGAGACTTCTTGTGTCCCTTGCGGTGTCTGAAAGTTGAGAAGGATTATTTAAGAGTACAGTGGTCTATTTTTCCGTACAGTAGACTATTTTTCAGTAGAATAGCTTACCCTCTTCTCTTCTTGTGATGACGGCGTTTGATGGCATGACGGCGCTTGTGGTGACGCTTACGGAGTGGAGAGCGAAGTTTGTGAACGAAAGATCCGACAAGATTTTTCTTCGCGGCTCTCTTCTCACGGATCAACTCAGTCTCTGAGGTGGCTACAGCCGAATCAGTTTCCTGGAATTGATTTGATAATGGATTCTTGTTCATTGCTCGATTACTGGACTGTACTATAGCTAGTCTAGTGATATACTATAGCTAGTCTAGTGCTGTACTATAGCTAGTCTAGAATCTAGAGCAAGCTATCATATTTCAAGAATAGCTAACTATATGGCAGTTTCTTGCAGACTATGAGTCTATTGTAGTAGGTATTGTATCAAAAAGAAAGCTATAGGAAAGCGATACAAAGCCAATAGTGAGCCAATATTTCTATAGTTAAAGGGATATGCTAAACTGTAAAAAAACTAGGAATAATAGAGATTATAGTGAAAGAGTACTGTAATAATGTAGAAAATGCCAACCTTCTTCTCCTCATTAGCATAGACGGCGAGTGCCACAAGGGCAAGGCCCAACAGCAGGAGCCACGTCCTCATCTAAAACTCTTAAGTACTGTAAGAAAGCTGCAAGTGAGGTCAAAGAACTCAAAGAACTCAAAGATTGGTAAAATGCTAGCCAAATGGCTTGTTGTTTAAAGGAGAATGTAAAAGTGAGTGTAATAGCTGAGACAAAATCGCGTTTATATATGGAGAAATGGGTGGGAGGGCAGGGAGGAGTGGTTAAAAAACGTGGGGAGTTTTTTTTTTTAGAAGAAGAGGCTGATGAAGAGATCTATTGAAGGAAAGGCTAAAAGCGAGTATCGTTTACCCTCTCTTTCTTTTGTCATTTCACTTATAGTCTTTAAGGTGAATGCCAAAAAGCTTTAGGCTTTCAGCAAAAAGGCAAAAAGGCAAAAAAAAAGGCTGTGAGATGCCATTTCGCAAAGCAGATAAAAGAAGTGCAGATTTTGAGAGAAGATAGAAAACTGTCGCGCACACACACGGGTCGGCGGAAACATGAGGCTAAGGATCACTGTTCTTCTGCACGTTTTCTTGGAGTTGAAAATGGAATGGTGTGGTGACATTGGTGCAGTGTGTTGTGAGCTTTTATGACCGAAGAAATAATTTTTTTTTTTTCTTTGATCTAGAACGACTCTGGTTTTTAGACTTCTAAAGACTTTAGAATTAGAACTACGGTAGCTTTACAACTACTGTAGCTTTAGAACTACTGTAGTTTAGAGCTACTGTAGTTTAGAGCCACTGTAGCTTTAGAACCACTGTAGCTTTAGAGCTACTGTAGCTTTAGAACTTCTGTAGCTTTAGAACTTCTGTAGCTTTAGAGCTACTGTAGCAGCAGAAAAACAAAACTTAAATCATTTATTAGTCTTTTTGAACACATTTTTTCATATTCAGAGAGAATATCTCTAATTTTTAAGAAAACATAACCTAAAGACACTTTCTTTTTTTCTTTTTTTCTTCCAGATAGCTCGTATTTTTGAGAATTTATTGCCAGCCGGTGAATGAAATCGAAAGAGAATCTTTTCGGGTGTCGATGCATATCAGAAAAGAAAAAAAAGCCTAATTTCTAGGTTTAGATCCCTGGTTATACCAATCCCGAGGGAAAGGGGCCTAAGGAGACCGATCTTGGGAACCAGTTCACCATATGGGTGCGTTTACCTACAGCACACGGTTCAGGGAAGATATCCGTGACTCATCTGCTGGATTCGAACCAGAGACTAACCGATGACGTCTTTTTTTTAATTTTTAAGAAAACACAGCCTAAAGACACTTTCTTTTTTTCTTTTTTCTTCCAGATAGCTCGTATTTTTCAGATTTTATTGCCAGCCGGTGAATGAAATGAAAAGAGAATTTTTTCGGGTGTCGATGCATATCAGAAAAGAAAAAAAAAGCCGGTTAGATTCACTTTTTCTTTGGGCATTCAATGATGAACCTATTTCATTACTATTATAGACTTATAAAAGAAGATTTGCTTTTTCTAATGATTACTTAGAGTTACTACATGGGTGTTTTTCTAGAAAGAGCTCTAGCTACAGTAACCCATAAGTTCCAGCAGCTACAGTAACCTACAGTAACCTACAGTAGCCCTGGAGTAACCTACAGTAACCCACAGTAACCTACAGTAACCTACAGTAACAGTAAGTACAATAAACTCCTGCTACAGTAACCTTTGAAGTTCCAGCTACATTAATCTTTGAGTCTGTACTCTGTAGGTTACTGTAGGTTACTATTAAGATCAGCTACAATAATTTTGAGTCGAGTTACAGTAGTTCTTTAGTTCTAGTAAACATAAGCTTCAGCTACCGTAATCCAGGACTTTAAATAGAACTTCAACACTGTAACAGCTACAGTAACATCTAAGAGAACATTTGTTGAGCTTGACTTTAATCAAGTTTGACTTTTGTCTTTCAAATTTCAATGAAATCTCTGATCATTTCATTACTATTATAAACTTATAAAAGAAGATTTGCTTTTTCTAATGATTACTTAGAGTTACTACATGGGTGTTTTTCTAGAAAGAGCTCAATGAAATCAATCAATGCCAGATTCAATGCCAGATTCAATGCCAGACTATAATCTCATTAGTGTCTAATAAAATCGAAATGAAATCTCACAAAATGATATTAGTGAATCGATTGTCAACGACGATGTATCATCACAATGAAAGTGAACCCAATAAACGAGCGGAAGGGGAGAAAAGAGAAGAGAAGAGAAAAGAGAAGAACTCAAATCATTAAAAAAAAAGACAATCCATCAAATGACAACCATGCCACAAAAGAATGGATTTGACATAGTCGATGGGATGGACAAGGGGAATTTTGGCTGATGACATGGGGTATTTTATTTGAATAAGCTTGTTGGATACTTGTTGGATACTAGAGTAAACTTTAGTTGAGTACTTTCGTTGAGTACTTTAGTTGAGTGCTTTAGTTGAGTACTTTAGTTGAGTACTTTAGTTGAGTACTTTAGTTTATCCAAAAAGATCTGCTTCCTTTCCTCGTTGTCAACACATTTTTTGATCTTTGAACAGCTATTGTTTTGAATTTTACTCAAATTTTACTCAACTTGAAACTTTATAGAAAGTGCTTGCTTGTGGATTGCTTTAAAGCGCACTTTTCTCAGCTATAATTTATATCGGGGTTACAGGTGATTTATTTTACACTTCTGCACATTATTTTACCAGTGATTTATTTTGCACACACATAATCACAATTTGCACATTAAGACCTAGGGAATATTTTATGGTTTGTGAGGATTGAGACGATGTAGGAGAAGATGTAGGAGACGATGTAGGAGACGATGTAGGAGACGATGTAGAAGACGATGTAGAAGACGATGTAGAAGACGGTGTAGGAGATGATGTAGGAGATGATGTAGGAGATGATGTAGAAGACGATGTAGAAGACGGTGTAGGAGATGATGTAGGTGATGATGTAGGAGATGATGTAGGAGATGATGTAGGAGATGATGTAGAAGACGATGTAGAAGACGGTGTAGGAGATGATGTAGGTGATGATGTAGGAGATGATGTAGAAGACGATGTAGAAGACGGTGTAGGAGATGATGTAGGAGATGATGTAGGAGATGATGTAGAAGACGATGTAGAAGACGGTGTAGGAGATGATGTAGGTGATGATGTAGGAGATGATGTAGGAGATGATGTAGAAGACGATGTAGAAGACGGTGTAGGAGATGATGTAGGTGATGATGTAGGAGATGATGTAGAAGACGATGTAGAAGACGGTGTAGGAGATGATGTAGGTGATGATGTAGGAGATGATGTAGAAGACGATGTAGAAGACGATGTAGAAGACGATGTAGGAGGAGAAGGCTACACGCTTTATATGAGCTTGCGCATTAGACAAGTCTACCCATTTGGATCCCTGGTTATCCCAATCCCGAGGGAAAGGGACCTAAGGAGACCGGTCTTGGAAACCAGTTCACCATATGGGTGCGTTTACCTACAGCACTCGGTTCAGGGAAGATTAACTTTTGAATAATTTAACATTTGATCAGAGTCGATTAGATCAGAGTTGTAGCATTTGAGGTTACTTGAACTTTTGACTGATCATTACAATTAGACTCATAAGCACAAATTTAATGTTGAGCTAATTGTGGGCTTTTATTAGCTAAAAAGATAAATAATTAACATGAATATGAACGTAAATAAAAGGAAAACTCCGGTCTTGGGAACCAGTTCACCAAATGGATGCGGTTACCTACAGCACACGGTTCAGGGAAGATATCCTTGACTCATCTGCTGGATTCGAACCAGAGACTAACTGATGACGTCGCTTCTGACGATCTGACGGATCTGACGATGCAGATCTGATGGGATACCGTGTTTCGGGAAGCCGTAGCTAGTCTCCAAAAATTACTAGATCAGATAGAAGGTTTGAACTAGGTTTTAGTCTCAAAAATACTGCCTAAGTACTGCCTATACTGCTAAATACTGCCTATACTGCTTAGGTCTAGCTCAAGTAGTGGACTTGGAAGAAGCAGCGAATGTGAAACTTTTAAAACAATTGGCTTATTTTACAAGTTCTAAATCCGATGCTTGTTCTTGCCCTAGTGCCCTAGGGTTCTCGCCCTAGGTAACCTGCAAATTTTTACATCTTTAGCTTTCATTTTCATTTTCACTTAAGCTTTGTGCTTTCATTTCGATCAAAACTCTATATAGCCTTTAGATAAAACTTATAAAACTTATAAAACTTATATAACTTTATATAAAATGTTTGTGAATAGTGGAAATGATTATCAAAATCGAAAAACCTATCAAAACTCAGTAATTCAGTCAATAATTTTTGATCAACACCAGAAAAGCAGTTGAACAAAAATCGTGATCCTTCAAATGTTCTTTTCTTTCTTTCTTTCTTTTCGGCATTCTTTTCCTTTCGCATTGCCACGGTATGGCAGCATGGCCTGGATCGAAAAGTGAGAATAGAATTGAGTCGAATTTCCTCTCCTTAAAACCTCTCAAAGAACAAACGAACTTGAAAATCGAACTTTTTTTGTGTTCAAAAGCAATGGCACACAAAAATGAGGCAAAGAAATTAGGAAAGAGGACGACTTGGGGACGGTTCTACTTCAACAAAACTTTATATTCTTTTTCTGATTTTTTGTTGATCTTTTGATAGATGAAAAAAAAAATGGGTGAGATTCTTGAATAAGCGGCAAGGTCACTTGAAAGAAAAAGAGAGTAATGGTAATAATGTTCTCAAGAATTTCGTGTTGACTCATCGCTTGATTCAAAAAACCCCTCTTTATCAATAGAATCAAACTGATAATATAAAAATCAATTCTAATCTTATATAGTTATCAATATCAGAATGATCTTGATTCTAAAAACGAGAGCTAGTGATTTTTAGAGCTTGCGATCATGCGAGAGCTTGCGATCATGCGAGAGCTTGCGATCATGCGAGAGCCTGCGATCATGCGAGAGCCTGCGATCATGCGAGAGCCTGCGATCATGCGAGAGCCTGCGATCATGCGAGAGCCTGCGATCATGCGAGAGCCTGCGATCATTCAATCTTGCGATTTTGAATGTCTATTCGAAATCTATATTCAAAAATCGATTGAATACAATAGTTTAAACAAAGAAATCTCAAAGAATTCTCCAAATTTCTCCGCAATTTCACAGTTTTTACAGTCTTCATAGTCGACAAAGTGGCCAAGTTTAAGCAGCCAAAGTTTTTTCGAGAACTCTCCAGAAAGCAATGAATCAAAATAAAGCCAATCAATTCCAGAATCGGATCTCAAATCATTGACATCAAAAATTGACACCTTTTCTTAGTCAGTAAAGCATTTTTTCTTCAACGAATTCGACATTGGAAACAAATCAAGTTAGTTTGACTTTAGTTTGACTCGATTTTTGAATTTCTAATCGATAGTTTCAAGTAGAAATCATAAGAAAGTTGAGCATTCTAGTTTTAGATCATACCTTTTTTCTATTGTAATCCATTTTCTATTCTCTCCTTTGACTTTGACTATCGATTGGATAATTGGATAATCTAGAGATGTCGATAATCTAGAGATATCGATAATCTAGAGATGTCGATAATCTTGAGATGTCGATAATCTTGAGATGTCGATAATCTAGAGATGTTAATGGTTTTCTAAAGTTTATCTACTTTGCATTGATACCTTTTATTCACTTGTCAATCAAACAATCAATCAAGAAACCTTGTTTTTTAAGTTATCGACAAGAAAAGTTGAACTTTAAGTTTATTTTAACATGTAACAAAGTCAAAAAAATCAGAATTGATCTCAATATAGCAATCTCATTACGTGGTTTTCCCCGAATCCCAGAAAAAGAGTTCAAATTCATGTTCTGCCTTGTCTTTTCGATTGCCTTGGATCATAACGATAGATCGGATCGAAAGGATTGAATGGAGGGAAAGAGTTGAGATTGGAAAGAAGAGCATATCGAAAATGAGACAACACACAGACACACATACTCCTCCCAAAAAGCATTGGCTGAGCATTTCACTTTCTTTCATCGGCAATGGCAGATTTTGGGGGGGGAGATTTTCGGCAAAATATTTTGCGTATCGTCTAGAAAAAGAAAAGAAAAGTGGAGATTCGATTGTGATAATGGAGAAATGCTAAAGGAGAAGTGATTGGGGGATTCAGAAAGTCGAATCGACTTTTATTTACAAAAGTTAGCTGGTTTTTCGCGTCAATTGTTTACGTCTTAAAATATGACTTTAGAATCAAGATCGTGTAAGTCAAAAACTCGAAAAATTGATTTCATTTATTTAAAAATTATAGATTTATTTAAGTTTTTATTGTATTAAATAAATAAATATATATATATGTTGTGTCCGATTTAGATTTCCGTCCGATTTAGATTGAATCTAAATCGGACGTCCGATTTAGATTGAACTTATCGCGGACGTCCGATTTAGATTACAGTCTATATCGGACGTCCGATTTAGATTCAATCTAAATCTTATATAGATTGAGCAATAATACGTCTTATATAGATTGAACAATAATATAAACATGCTTAATATATGTTCTTAAGCGTTTTCTGTAGTTTTCTGCATTTTTCAAAGGTCTTTTATTGATTACAGTCTATATCGGACGTCCGATACAGATCGAACAATAATAAACGTGCTGAAGCCGCTGAAGCCTACAATTTGATGGTTGAAACGCTCCACAATCACCGTGAAAACTGCGAAAAACCAAAACAACCACAAAACTACCACGAATGAAGGGAAAAGCAGAAAACTACAGAAAACGCTTAAGAACATATATTAAGCATGTTTATATTATTGTTCAATCTATATAAGACGTATTATTGCTCAATCTATATAAGATTTAGATTGAATCTAAATCGGACGTCCGATATAGACTGTAATCTAAATCGGACGTCCGCGATAAGTTCAATCTAAATCGGACGTCCGATTTAGATTCAATCTAAATCGGACGGAAATCTAAATCGGACACAACATATATATATGCTTTATTCAGTTGAATAACGACAAAACGAAACCACAATAATTACCCGGAACACCACTCAAAACACACACAAAAGAGTTGGTGAATTGAAAACTGCCTGGACTTTGAACTAAAATTTATTCAACATAAAACCATGAATTCATTCGAAATAATTTCCATTATTATTGACGAATTCTGCCCATTTTACAGGCAATTTGCGAATTCCTTTTTCGTAGTAGGATTTTGCTTTTGAATCGAAAAACTTTCAAAGCCAATTTTTGACTGCTTCTTCCGAATCAAAGTGTTCTCCCGCAAGCTCATTACTCATGATCCAGAATAAATAGTAATCAAAAGGGGCGAGGTCCGGACTGTATGGGGAATGCGACAAAAGTTCCCAAACAAGGCTATTTATTTTAGAGCTAGTCAGTTTTGCAACATGAGGGCGCGCGTTGTCGTGAAGGAGTGTCGATCTTAGTTTTAAAATAGTCTTCTAAGTTTGTTAGTTATGTTCTAAAATGAATCTATGCACCTAGTAGCACTTCAACAGTAGGAACTTTATAAGTTGAGGCACTTAATTCAAATATTAGGTTGGTGAATTGAAATCTGGACACCTGGACTTTGAACTAAAATTTATTGAACATAAAACCATCAATTCATTCCAAATAACTTCCATTATTATTGACGACTTCTGCCCATTTTACAGGCAATTTGCGGATTCCTCTTTCGTAGTAGGATTTTGGTTTGTGTGTGAGACAAGTGTGAGACTCAAAAATCGAGGACTGGAGACTGGAGACAAAAATGGAGGACCAGTTTGAGCACTTTCTCTAAAAGAAACCCATTTTGGTGTCAATGGAAAAGTTGTAGAGAATCAAAAATTAGGCTTATAGCCAAATTTTCAGAAAGATTCAAAAACTGGTTTTCAAGAAATGCTAAATTTACGAAATTTTCGAAAGTGCAACACAAAACTGATAACACTTTTTCATTTCGTCACCTAAGATCTGTCACATTTTACAGCCAGAGATTCGATCGCGACCCTCCAAGAGATAATGTCGATTTTAGAAAATAAAAACAAAAACTTTACTGAGTACATTGTATTTTATCAAAAAAAACTGTTTGTTTTATTAAAGAGATAATTTTATAATGCTATGCTATTTATTTTATTATGAAATGAATAAATTATAAATATAAATAAATATTTAATCAATTTTGTCGATAACCGTATAAATTCGGATTTTCAATGGAGAATTCTTGGGGAAATTCGGCCTGAGCACAATGTTCGGCGTCGACAATTGCTTTCCCGGAGTGATCCATCGGAAATTCGAAGCCGAATTCAATAATTTCACGCTAGAAGCTACACCGTCAACTCCTGGCAAAATCCATCGAAAATTTCGATGACTTTTCGATCTCTTTGGAGATTTTCCGATAAAGTAAGG